AAGGTAGAAGAATGGTGTACCAGAAAGAAGCTGAGAATGGCGACGGCCAAAACGACTTATGAGCATGTGACGAGGTGACGTACCTGGGAGTCAGATTCAAGAGAGGGTTTGATTTTACAACACATATCCCTTATTTTAGAGACAGGATGACTCACTCATTGAACGGACTATCGAGAATAGGGAGTGCTTTCTGGGAAATTAAATACCCGGCGACAAGAGTTATTTATAAATGCGTGGGCCTGGGAATCCTGGGGTACGCATTCTCTGCCTGGAGCCGCCGCCTTACACAAGTACAAAGGAAAAAACTAGCAACCGTTCAGAGACTGACACTTATTAGGATTACAAAAGCCTACAGGACTGCGGTATCACAAAGCGGTACAGATTCTAGCTGGGGAAATGGCCCTAGACTCCATCCTGAGGGAAGACACCATTAAGTTCGATGTCAAGAGACACGGCCTTGGATCACTCCCGGAAAGACTACGGCAGAGTGCAGAAGAAAGACCAGGGAATTGGAAAACGTTGTTAAGGGAGGATTCAGTCGAGGAGTGAAACAGGCGGCAGACAACCGTTTATTAAAGATTAGAAGCGAGGTGGGTCCAACCTGACTACTGGTTTTCTCAAATCCTTACGGGACAGGGGGAGGGGATTAGAGATAAATTGAATAACCATGGGAAGGAATATTGACCCTCGGTGCCCCACATACAAGGTTTCTGACACAGGGGAACACGCCATACTGACATGCGCAAAAATGGACCAACACCGAGCCTGGCTGTACAGGAAAATTGGATTATAAAATCTTGAAGCAGATCGCCGAGTACTGATGGCGGAGGATAACTACCCTTACTTCGAAAAGTACGTAAGGAGGTGGAAGGAAATGATGGACCCTACGCACTTCAACTTGGGTAGAGCACCCGGCAGAGGAAGGAGAAGTACTGGCACTCCAAAGCCCAACGGACCCGGAGGAGTAAAGAAAAAGAAAGAAGAAAAAATACACAAATAAATAAAATAAAAAAGAAGGAAAAGGGGTAGCCCCATCAGAATGTGCGCTAACGCGTGCCGGACTACACCAAAGAATCTCTGTTTTAGTTGTTCCTAAATATATAAACGTATCCTTAAATATACCTATCTATTTAAATATCCAACGAAATAAAGAAAGTTGTATATAAAGAAAACCTGTATACCACAAATGGAAAAAAAATAAGCTCATTTACACTAAAAAAAAGATCATTTAAATTTTTAAAAAATTAATAAATATAAAAGTAATATATAGTAAATTATGTACGCTTCAATATTCAATGTGAAGATCTTTTGCTACAAAGCTTATGAAAAAAGATATTCAACCAAAAATAAAAATATAAGCATCCTTATTACGAGTTTTTGAAATGTACCCGTTTTGAAAGCTCGGTAGCTGTTTTCCTGTCAGGCTTAAAAAAAGTGTTTTCTACATAAAGGTCAGAAAACTTCAAGAAGTTTAAAATTTAAAATAACCATTTTTTTAGCTATAACGCTTTAAAAATGAGATATTTAGTGAAAACAAAAAAAATTCCAAGATTCCATTGGTTTTGAAGCACTGCAGCAAACCCACAAACCTTTGAGGTGTTCAGGTAGACATTGATTCTCTGTTAGTATGTTCAGTAGGGTGTGAATGTACTCTCTGAACTCTATTAGAAGTGTCCTTAACTGTGACAGATTGTAATATTTCTCAATAAAATGTTAATTATAAAGTATGCTCAGTATGCGTCTGTAAAATATTTTTTCAAAAATTTTAGAACAAATCGGAAGTAGGCTAATGCCTCTGTAGGAGGAAACACTTTAGGGATTTTTATTCGGTTTTTGTACCATTAGTACTTGTGGAAACATCCATTACAATGGAATTTGTTATCTTTAGTATAGTGTTGAATTGGTTTATTAGATAAACTATTGCTTTTCTGGGTATATACTGGAATATCTCAGCGGTGATCAGATGGTACCATAGGTTTTTACTTTAGGGTAACTTCCGAATTTCTTGTAGTCCTTCAGATTATTTCAGGGTATTTCAAGAGAATCTTGCATATTATGGTCATGTTCATTGTCTGAGTAGTCTGTATCTGGTGTGAAGACAGTCGATAGATGGTCAGCGAAGAGTTCAGGTTTTTCACTGTAATACACGAACGAAGAACCATCGTAGTGGCGCAGACATCTCGCGATGCTTTAGTAGCTTTTTAGATGGTCTCAATAAGCTTCCATCTTCAGCTGTGAGGTTATTTATGAAAGTACCATAGTTAACCTATTTGAATTTGTTTATCTGTCTTTTTAGTTCGCTATTTATTCGATTATATGTCTGTTTATCCTATGGTAGTCTGTCAGTCTGTCATGCCTTACGAGCTCTTCTCTTTTCTCTGATCAAATCTCTTATACTCTGTGGGTAGCTAGGTTGATTATTTATTTGTTTGTGTATCGAAATATTCCTGGGTGTTCTTTGTCAATACTTCGATGGCTTCCTCGATTTCTTTTTCAGCTTTTAGTGAGAGAAGAACTAAAAACCTCTGATTTAAGTTAGTTTGTAAATAATTCCATCCTGTGTTTCCTTTAATAAGCGATAGACGTTCTTCATTTTTAATGTTTCTTCAGAAAGGACCAAGTGTAGAAGGAAATGATCAGAGAATAAGTTGCAGCTAGATCTAACTGTGTAAGGAATGGCCCGTAGTTCTTTAATAATGAAGAAGTCCAGAAGGTCAGGTGATTTTATCCTCGACGTAGGCCTGTAAGTTGGAGTATTTGGTGATATTGTATTTAACGAATGCTTGTGGAGTGCAGACCGAAGATTTCTACCTCTTGGAGAGCACAATCCCGACCCCTATTACTGATGTTTGGCATTGTAGTCGCCACGAGCGATGAAACACCTTCCCGATTTTTCAAAGAAACTACATGGCGGGTACCAGCGAATAACGAGGGAGACAATATACTGCTGCTAATGTTATGGATTGCAATGTAGTGTGCTGCGTTATGGCTGTAGCTTGTATGTCTAGTATTTTCTGCAATTGTATAGTATGATGTTTGAATGATGGTTTGATAATGATAGCAGTTCCACTAGGTTTTCTAAGATTCAAGATATTGCATTTTCTACAGATAGTTTGCTAGATGTGCTCCTTGGCAGTTGGCACTTTTAATGGGTGTGTACTTTGATTTTAAAGATGAAAAGTTATGTTTTTGCCCACACTTAACACACATGGGTACATGGTTACAGTTGGTCTTAGTATGACCGTACTGTTGGCATCTATTGCACTGGGTTGTCATCCTCTTCTTCCTTGGTCATTCAATAGTCATCCGAGTGTAATACGTACTATTTATCTGTAAAATATTTTCGTTAAATGTTTGTTTTGTAATATCCACAAAAAACATATAAAATGGGTCTTTGTATCGTAATGATACATCGGTTACATTTACTGCCTCATAATCAAAAGATTTTAGTTCTTCAATAATAGCTGAATTTGGAGTTAAATAGTGTAATTTTTTTATTACAACTCGTGGACATCTTTAAATTAAAATTTAATTAAAGAGGCGAAATTTGACGATTCATTTAACGGAAGAACATGCGGCTGAAATTTAGATATGATGTCAAGAATATGTCCCTAAAAGAGATTCACCTTGACGATGCACACGGTTGCGTTTTAAAAACTGTCCCGTCAAAGTCATGAAATTAGGCCAGTTAGATCAGGAAAAAAAATCAAATAGTTGGTTTTACTGCTTCGATGTCGTGCGCTTAACAGCCGCTTAAGCCTCTACATATTAAAGTATTTACATAAAGTACTTAGAAAATGTAATGTGCAATCAATCTGTAGAATTGATTATAATTAATTTCTTTGAGGGATGCATAGATTTTGAGTTTTGATGTAAAACCCTACGACAACAGATATTTCCTGTGAAATAAGCAGTCAACATTCAATACTCCTTACTTGTACGGCCTACATCAAAGAGCATAGAAAATAATGGCATTTGACCGACTGACCGAATTTGTGTGTTCAGATAAGTTTTATCTAGAATTTAAAATGATTACTAGCTTTAAGTCCTTCCGTTAAACTAAATGGTCGATAGCTCCTAGCATATAACGTAGAACTGTGAGAAAGAGTCCGCAAAATGTGCTTAAGTTACCTTTTTAATCCCAAGGAGCAGAGGTGCCCAGAAGGAGGGTTGATGGCGAAACTTCCATCATGAAATTTTTGACGGAACATATTTTGGCGGGTTTATGAGTTTTCGAAGTCTAAAGTTTCATATTAATGGACAAGAGGAATACATGTAACAGAGCAAGTGTAATTTTAAATGATTTACGAACTGATTCTACTATAATTCCCTTGCTATGTCTAAGAAAAGGCAAGAAATAAAATATTTTGGAAATGGGGGATAGGTTCTTGGTCCATCGCTTGTGGGAAGAATTGGCAACCCTGCCAAGGAGTTATTAATGTTTACAGTTTGGGGATGCAATTGATTAAGGATTACGCTAGTTCCATTCAATTACCAGAGAAGTATTTATTGTTTTCATAATAAAAAAATGCATCGAACATTTTAGGTGATCCTTTAATTTTGTCCATCAGTGTATATTCATAATATGCTTAGACCACGGGCGGATCTATGGGGGGAGGGGCTTTGGGGCTGAAGCCCTCACCCTAAAATGGTAAAATATTACCATGTTTTACGGAACAGAATATTAAAAAATTATCTCTTAAAGTATTATTGTTCGTGTAATTACATTAAAGGAATTTAGGAATCACTTAAACACCATTTCATATAGATAGTTAGTTTCTTTCTTTTTTCCCAAAGTAATTATCGTTAATTTTATGAAGAAAAAAAAAAAGCTTTCGGGCTGAAGTCCCCACCCAAAAGAAATTAAATCCTGGATCCGCTAGTGGCTTATACTAACTATTCTTATTAATCAGTATTACCTATATTTTTAAGTAAGATTAGCACATCTGCAATAATTATATTCTTGCTTACATTAAGTAACATAACTTCTTGGTTTGCAGTCATTATCGTAAACAGTGACCCTAAAGAGAAATCAGAAGATTCATCTAAAAAATCGATTTTATCAGAAAAATCAAAATCTTCAAAGACGGATAAATTTATAAAATCGCAAGCAGGAGGAAATAAAGGTGCAGCTGAAAATAATAGTGATGGTAACAATAGAAAGATTGCTAATAACTTATTAACCTTATAATCTCTACTTTTTTTTATCTAGAGAGTCTAATACATAGCAGGTTAATGGTAGTGATAAGCTAATTACTTCTGGAGTTCTTAGTGAAATCAATATTTATGCTTCAATACAAATTTTTCTAACATTCAGAAAAATTCTGTGGCATAAAAATGAAGAATAAATGCCTAAGATTATTTTCTTATAGATAATATATTTTGAAGAGAAGAATAGTTGGGGTGGTCAGTCAAAAAGGAAGGCAAAAAATAAATGATAATATTTATTTTTTACATATGCCGACGTTTTGACCTGAAGTTCAGGCCTTCATCAGGGCTAAGAAAATCTTCAATCCAAATAAAATTCCCGATATCCTATCACATTTTAACTCTTGCCACCCCCGCCTCAATTTTACAGTACAACGCGAACTCAATAATTCTCTCCCTTTTCTCGACCTTCTAATCATTAAAAATCCCAATAACACCATATCCACAGACTGGTACACTAAACCAACTTACACTGGCAGACTCCTAAATTTCCATTCTAAACATCCCTACCACCAAAATATTTACGTTGCGAAAAATCTCATCCACCGTAGTCTCTCCCTCTCTGATCCCCAATTTCGTGTTACCAATATCAAAGGCATAAAACAGATCCTGTCAAACAATAATTTTCATCTCCATGTCATTAACAAACTTATAACAGAGCACAATAATCGCTCTTCCTTAATATCAACTTCCACTAATTCTCCACAACCCATTTCAGCCCCTATATACAGATCTCTACCTTATAATCCTAACCTTTCAGACAACATCGACGAAGTTTTACGATCTACTAACCCTAACGTAAGTTTGGCAGTTAGTCGTAAGACTTGCATTCAAATCTCACAACACACTCTCTAAATTATACATATCCCTAAAATATCCCGTTCCTCTCTCACACCGCTCTCATATCGTTTACCGTATTCCATGTTCTACCCCCAATTGTTTTTCATCCTATATTGGTGAGACCAAAAATCTCCTAAAAGACCGCATAACCCAACATAAATATTCTGTATCCTCTCGTAATTTTACCACTTCCAAATTATCCGAACATTCTCTCTTCCTCAATCATTCATTTGATTTCGACAAAACATCCATCCTTGCCACAGTTCTCAACCATGACAAACGACTCATTTCTGAAACCCTCCACATCCAACTTCAACCAAAGACAGTGAATCTAAAAACTGACAAACAGAACTTTTCTTTAGCCTACTCCCAAATTCTGAATTTATTAAAACATCCATAGTTATATTCCTTTCCTTTTTGCTGACAACTTCCTTATATATATATATATATATATATATATATATATATATATATATATATATATATATATATATATATATGTAGAAATAGAAATAGAAAAATCATCTTTATTCTGGGACTAGGTCCCTTTAGAATAACAGTATTGTTCATATATATTAACTACAAATCTGGTCAAAAGACTTATTACAATGCATAATGACAAAATACATGTAATACATTAAGTATTAATTAAGCTCTTAGAATAAATTAACGAGGACAGTTGGGTAATAGGGGTTCAGTACTACAATATTGGAGCTAATATAATTGCATAATAATCACTGAATGAAATTAGAAAGGAAAGTAAAATCTATTTGATAGGTAAAGCATTGTAGTGATGGAATATAAAAATTTAATAAAAATAATAATAACTGTTAATATGTAGGGAAAGAAATTGTAAAAACTAAAACAAAAAAATATATAAAAAAAAACAAATAATGATATACATATGTTCCCTAAGATATTTAAGTGATTATGCGTAAAGATTAGGAGAAGAGAAAATAAAATAAAGTATATACATACACATAGCGAGAAGTATGTAGAAGATAATTAGAAATAAAATACATTTCACTGAAATACATTTCATGAATAACAAATTAGAACTTAAGAAAAACAAATTTTATCTACTCACAATGCTTAGTGCGTGGTGATGAAAATTCACGTTCAACACAGAATAAAACAATAAAAAATAAGAGAAAAAAAATAATGTCTAAAGAAAATTAAATCCTTATAACATAGTATGTATTTAACCAGCGTCTGATTGAATTGTGAAGACGAATTGGAATAAGAGGGTTAATATATAATATATTAGATATAATAATACAGGAGGAATAATATATATATATATATATATATATATATATATATATATATATATATATGTATATGTATATGTATGTGTGTATATGTATATGTATATAAGTTAAGGTACGGAGCGGGACAATATTAGCGTTAATACCAAATGCAGTGATATAAACAATCTCAGAATGTATTTATAGAGGATTAGAAGGAGAAATAAACCAGTCTTGATTTCGTCTTCATGCGTGTTGTTTCTTAAACCTATTACTTTTTTTTAAGTGTTTCAAGCCCCTACGCTTAACTGGTGCCGAAACCCGGGACGGTGAAAGAGGTACGTTTTTTTTCCAATAAGTAAAAAACTGTTACCAGGATGCCTGAATTCGACCTGAGGCAGCCAGCTTCCATGAACGTGCCAGAGATCTCTCCATTACCGCAGGGAACATTTGCCGCGGCGCATGCAAATGCAATTGAATGGATGAAGATCAGGGTAGCCACTTAACAGGACCTCGGAAGGCTATATCCGATCTCGAGCGCTTCACCGGAGAAACAGGTGAGCTAAATCACTTTTTAAAAGGGGGAGATCGACTTGTGACAAGAATCAATGCGAAGATCGAGGAGAATCTTGTCAACGCTGGAGATGAGGATGCCCTTAGGGCAGCGCTTGTGTGCAGGGTCAAAAGAAGTATCCTGAAACACATTCAGGCGGATGAAGAGACGCCGTGGGAAACGGTCAAAGAAAGGCTGAAGAAAGCTTACGGAGGCGGCAGGTGGACAACGGAAGAAGACATCTTCCAGATGTTCCGCGAAACGAAGTCTTCACGCCAGTCAAAGGGACAATATGCTGCAACCCTCGTAGCTCATTACAACCGTATCACGGAGAAGATGCGGGAAACAGCAGGCGCTCCGTAGGTTGAGGCCAAGATGGCCTTTTTGTCTACGATATTGAAGGTGCAGCTGGCGAAGGAAACCAGGAAGAAGGAAGGTTTACCCCGGGAACGCTCATTTATTGAGTGTGCCCAAGAAATGGTGGATTCTAGCGCACGAGAGGAGGAAAGCCGGCTAGAGGTGGAGGAACCAGGATGGAACCGGATAGTCTATAAGAGACCTAGGAGTGCACCGATGACCTGGAAAAGGAGAGAGTCCGCATACGGTGGGAGAGAGAAGCACGTGGGAGCGGAACGTAGACCAGGGCAAAATAGAGCAAGGGCTAACCAGAGGAAAGAAGATAGGAAATGTCACGGCTGCGGGAAGATCGAACACTTGGTGGCACAGTGTCCCCGCACGAGATGTTTCGAGTGCGGGACAGAGGGGCACATTGCGAGGCAGTGTCCGTATATATATTCACGAAGGGACAGAGACCCACAACGAGCAGAGCTGATGGAGGTGAATGCGCAAGGGTTGAGGAGACGATGGGTGCAGTCCAGGAGAAGTGACTCATCAACAGAGGCTTCAGAAGAATCTGCAACCACCGAGACCGAGGAAGAACCAGATGACCCAGTAAGCCAGGAAAACGAGAGGAGCAGAGAAGGGCGGAGAGGCAGTGGAAGAAGCGGACGGCGGCCAGCAGTGGAGAGGATCTGAGGAAAGTGTCAGGCGAGAGGTGACCGCACGCTAGTAAATTATAGCATTCGAGGGAAAAGCTGCTGGTTACCAATAATAGAGGCGAGAGGAGTGAGGTGCCTGGTAGACACCGGGAGCTCCAATACCATTATGACGCGTGGAGTGTTGGAGAAGCTGTACGGGGTTCTCTCCATTCGAAATCTTCTTCGGACTACGCGGGCGGCAACGGGATTGGGAAAGCACAGCTGTGGATGAGGAAATGACGAGAGGAATCATTAGCAATAAAATGGAATTGGGCAATCTGTGGGAGAAGGTTAAAGGAAAGATAGAGGGAGAAAAGTGTAAAAGAGTGACGCGGGAGAATTTGAAAGTAAAGGAGATAACAGGGGGATTGAGGATTGGGTCCATCCTGTACCGCAGGATAGGGTCTAACAGATGGAAGGAATTGCGGAGATATGAGGGGACATTCAGGGTGATAGTCATTAGGGAGCATAACATTGTGACTATTGAGAGTGTCAAAGAACCAAGAAAAAGAAGAACGGTTCACATAGAACAATTAAAACTCCCAAGTTTAGAGCCAGAGCAACCGTAGAGTTGGAGTGCCCTCATCTTCGAAAAGAGAATTTTTTTTTGTTTTTATGTATTTCAAAAGATCATCTTTTATTTTTTTTTTTTGTTTTGTATTGTGTGTATATAGTGTTCATATACGACATAGTGTATATATGTGAAAAAACGTGCAGTGAAATGTATAGTTTTTTTGCAAGGAGGAAAGTGTATTTTATTTGGTTATTTATTATTGTATATGGATTTTTTTTTTTGTTTGGTTGTTTGATTACATTGTAAATACTGAACACTCCGTACCTTTGCTACAGTAGGTGCAAGAATTTTTGTAGATATGTATGTGTTTTATTTCTTTTTTGTTTTGTTGTTTTTATCTATTATTATTCATAAGTTTACGAAGGATGTCCGTAAACTGGTGGGAGGGAGTTAAGGTACGGAGCGGGACAGTGTTAGCGTTAATACCAAATGCAATGATGTAAACAATCTCAGAATGTATTTATAGAGGATTAGAAGGAGAAATAAACCAGTCTTGATTTCGTCTTCATGCGTGTTGTTTCTTAAACCTATTACTTTTTTTTAAGTGTTTCAAGCCCGCTACGCTTAACTTATACATACATATATATATATATATATATATATATATATATATATATATATATATATATATATATATATATATATATATATATATGATATAATTTTATTTCAATTATTCTCCCTTATTACTCAATAATTATTTTTCTTTTGAATTTTTCTTTCACTTTCTATTAACTTTCGTTCAATTTTCCATAATTTTTCTGAGGAATATATCTCTCGTACCTATTTACGCTTCCAGCGCTTTAGTTCAAACTTCGTCGGATAACCGTTAGAGAAGACGCCACCTACACATCTCTTCTCTCTTCCCCTCCCTTGTAACGACTTTTATTCTCTCTGCAACACTTAAGGAGACAGGTAGTACTTTTTTTATTTCTTTCTTATCTCAGCTTTCTCAATTTCTTCCCTCCTTCCTTTCATTCCTTTTCTCTGTTTTTAACTCTTTATTATATTATACATTGTACATCTTGATAGACTTTACAATATCTCAATTTTCTGTCTAACTACTCCATTCTCAATGTTTTAATTTTACTATTTATTTTCATTTCTTATATAACTTCTTTCTAACTAATTTCTTTTTTATGTTTTACATTTTATTCTAAGATTCCCATTGTAACACTTATGTCACCCTTTTTAATTATGCCTACTTCATCATTCCACACTCTGTAACGGTTAATATTATTTATCTCTTAGTTCTTAGTCATCATTATAACAATTTCATTTTACTTTATATTTATTTATTTTATTTTTTAAATTTTTTTTTAAATTTTATTATTTTTTTTTTTACCATCACTACTTATGTTTCTCATACCATGTTATCTGGTTATATCTTAGCCCTGAAGAAGGCCTGAACTTCAGGTCGAAACGTCGGCATATGTAAAAAATAAATATTATCATTTATTTTTTGCCTTCCTTTTTGACTGACCACCCCAACTATTCTTCTCTTCATTATCCACGACAGTCAACCAATTACCAATTATAATATATTTTGCTTAATATATACAATTACGAAATTATAACAGTCACAAGAAATGTTCGCTCTGTATTTTTTTATTTTTTTTTTATTTTAGTGCTCAACTTATGCAACAAAAGAACAAAACTCCTAAAAGAGAAACTAGATCAAATTCCTCAGCATCACTTGGGAAGCTATAAAACTAGCACTGATGGTAAGTTCAAGATATTATTCCACATCATATATTTTTTTAGTTATAAAATCCCACTTATTCCTGTTGAACAAATTCGATACCTTGGACTCCACTTAGACAAACGTCTAACTTGGAATCCTCATACCAGACTGAAACGACAAGAAACAGCTCGACGTTTCCGACTACTCCAGCACTTACTAGATAAACGCTCTAACCTCCCAGTCAATTACAAAAGACTCATATACATGACTACAATATTTGGACAATGACTATTACAATGACTATACAATGACTATTTGGACTTACGGAGTTGAGCTCTGGGGCTCCACTAAGCCATCGAATTCCTCTCGTATTCAATCCTTACAATCCAAAATCCTTCGTAAAATCCTCACTGCTCCTTACTTTGTCACAAACAAAATCATCCATAACGACCTTAATGTTCCTTATGTTTCTGACTTGGCCCAATCCAGATACCTATCCTTCCATAACAAACTTCAGCACCATCCAAACCCTCTCATTTCTAACCTTGCTTCCTCTTCGATCCCTGACAACCCTCAGAGGCGTCTGAAAAGAAGATGGCCTCGAGATCTCCTTTTGTAAATACATTTTTAGAGTGCTACCAATGGGTAGTTTCTCAACATGTGATGTCATGCTATTTTATTCCTTTGTTCACATTTACTGAATGTATTTTTACTTGTAATACAGTTGTAAATATCACCAATAAAAAAAAAAAAAAACAAAAAAAAAGTTATAAAATAATTTCTTCAGAATACACCTTCATACAGTAAATTTTGTTTTTATAATGTATTAATTATAAAATACATTTTATTTGTTGGTAAAAAATGAGCATTAAATAACCCAACTCTATTTTGACTATAAAATAAAATACAGCCAATTCTTCGGTGATGTTTAAAGCACAGTATATGTATAGTTCATTTATGTTTGTATATGCGGATCTTGATTTTGTATTAATATCTATTTTATTACTGTTTTAATATTATGTTTGGGGAAAATATATTTCATCATTTTACAAAAATGATCATTTCAGTTTTGTTTCTGTTGAGTTATAATCCACATTTTGTAAGGTATTTAGATATTTACTCAATTGTTTCTCTTAATCTATTGATTATGGTGTCAGTTCGGTATTAGGAAGATAATAACCCAGTATCATTAGCAAAACGAGTTATATTAATACTTTTTATTTTAGAAAACTTATCAATTATAAATAAATTAAATAATATTGGACTCAGGCAAGATCCTTGAAGGAGACAAGTAAAAGTAGGGTAAACGGAGAAAAGTTAATTATTAGCTAATAAAAAAGTCTGTATTAATACTATTGTAGTTCTGTGTTTATAGTTCTGTTATAAAATCACCAATAACTAAATTTAACAATTTATTAATTATCAATGAATTACAATTTAAATTATAATTTTCAAATGCCTAATCTAAAATCTACATGCCTTGTATTTAACAGAAACTGTTTGAATTTTATTCATAACTTTATCCATTAAAATAGATTTTAATTTTATAGTTCAAGTGTCATCACATTCAATTGATAAACTGCTCTTTTTTAATTTCAGTTATGATCATAAACAGCAGGATAACACCCAGAACTAAAAAACATAAATCCTACAAAAACTTTTTTTTGGATTCATCAATAGGAAAAGCCAAGAAAGGATCATTTAGCTTTCTAGTGAAGGGTAAAAACCGTAAGTTTAGCTTCTATTCTTCATTATAAATTCATTCCAGTTCATAATTAGAATTAGACAGGGTAAAATGATGAGTTTTTGTAATTTTTCTTAGCCACTGTGAATGAATTGAGGAACTGAAATTTTTATGAGAACTTCTTCAATATCTTACCTAATTCCACGAGTATTTTTAAATATACCTCTCATATTTAAACTGATGAAACATGAGTTTTCTCAATAATTGTTGCTTTTGATATCTACCTGGGGTAAGTTGACAAAAGGATCAAGGGTCTTTTAACATCATAACAAACTACTTCAACAATAACTTCTATCAAACTTTATTGAAATATCACTTAAACAAGAAATATAAAACTGTGAAAGGAACCACACGCTGTTATTAAATTATAGAAAAAGTATAATTTATTTCAATGCAGAAGTCACATTTATAGGCCCTGTAACTGGCATCTTTGTGGTCCCATCCATACTTTGCAGAATGGCTACACAGAATTGAGGCACTTGCAGCACTGGTACCAGTTCATTCTTGCCTTCTTCTGAGCAGATGCCAAATTTGTTATCTTTCCCCCTCATACCACTTTGACCATTCTAACATTTATTAATAACCACAACAAACGGTAAAATAAACGGATCTAGTATGAGTTTGTGGAATGGAGTTGTATACTCAGAATATCTTAGCGAGAATGTTAAAGAACTTGCCTTAGACGACTGATTCCTTGCTTTTGAGATTCAAAAATTACTTGAAAGTCTGAAGTAAAAAATCTGAACTTTTATTCACAACTTGATTCAATATAGACACACACTTGTTTACAGTAGTGAGTTACATTGTCTACGACTACACAAATCTTATATTAACTAGGACGTACTGCTATATGTGATTGATAGGGAGAAGTACTGAATTTGACATCTTTCCCCATCCACTATCTTACTCTTTCCCCTTCTACCTTCCCCTCCTCCAGAAAATATCTTATATCTTTATGATGTTTATAAATAAAATCCTGTTGGGGGGGGGGGGGGGGGAGATATGTCACTCCTTATTTACTTTACTAAATTTCTTGCCCATTTCCATTTGAAATGAATAGTTATATAAAACTATTCTTCTGTTTTTTTTTTTTTTTTGCTTGGAAGTTATATGTTATTCTCTGTTTTTGGCAATAATAATTTCCAATTAAACAACAGTTGATTTATTTGTTGAATTTACAAGTTTACATGTTTATGTTTCGGGAAATTTAGTCCTATCTTCAGAACTACAATCCCATGTTTCTTTGTCGATTCATGGCTTAAGTCTTATGTGCTCCATTGTCAGGTTCTAAATTTATGTTATAGCAAATTATAGCATGCCTGAGGATGCTCTGGATATTATATATTATAATTTGTTATAACACGAATTTAGAACCTGACAATGGAGCACATTAGACTTAAGCCATGAATCAACAAAGGAACATAGGATTGTAGTTCTGAAGATGGGAGTAAATTTCCCGAAACGTAAACATGTAAACTTGTAAATTCAACAAATAAATCAATTGTTGTTTAATTGGAAATTATTATTGCCAAAAACAGAGAATAACATATAACTTCCAAGCAAAAAGAAAAACAGAAGAATAGTTTTATATTTCATAATATATTATAATTTTTTTATAAATATATATTTTTTATGATTATGGTTCAACATGGATTTCATATTACAGAAATGAATGCATACAGAAAATTTAAAATCAGAAAAAATAGAACGAAATTTATATCAAATGTTCAAAATAAAAGTGGAGTGGGGGTCGTACCAACCAGTAAGTAATACAGCATTTTCAATAATGAAGTGCTTTGGATTTCAATAATTCCACTTTATTAATTAATTAGTGAGAAGAAATAAACACAAAACTAGAAAACTTCAATTTTTTTTAAATTTTAAATTATTACAGTTTCTTTGAATAAAAACTGAATAAAATCAACCATGAACTAGATAAAGGCAGTAACTGTTATCAAACGAATTTCCAACTAAAATATTTACCATATTAAAATATTTGTTTTATATATATATATATATTATATATATATATATATAATATATAATATTGTGCAATAATTTTCAAACTTCAAACTTATTTTATGTTCAATTATATGTGAAGAATCTACAATGAAAAAAAAATCATTAAATAAATAACTTTTATTTGAATAACATATTTTAAAAAAATTAATTTCTAAATTAACATTATCATAAATAAACTAATTTTTTTTTTAATTTCAGTTATTTTGATGAAGAATGGTGATTCTTTGAAAATTAACGAATCAAATAAAATCAAATTTTTAGGAAAACTCAGTTCCTCTTTAAAAATAGACAAAAGTAAAAAACATAAATCAAATAAGCAGAATAAAAGTGGAAAGGGGATTGATACAAACAGTAAGTAATTCCAAAGCTAGTTTTAAGCCAAAACTACAATTTTTTGTACATAGAGAGGAGCTCCAAATTGCATTTACAGAAGCCAATTTATTTATTTGTTGAAATTTAAACAAGACTGAGTGTTTATAACATAAAAATTAAATATTTGAAATAAATTACTGTTATGTATTGAACCTAGCCCAACTAAAATATATATTCAAATTAAATTCCTATAAAGAGAGAATAGTTTAAATAGGAGAGGTTGTACACCAAGACACTTGTGGACAGAATTGAATCAAATACGAGGGACAGTTAATGAAGGGTTAGCAGGCAGTTGTTTTAAACTAATAATTAAAAAATAAACTGGACAAGACATGGTGGAAATGATATGGCTGCTTAGTCCTTCGGTAGGCAAAGATTCTAATTTTTTTCTGTTCTTGGCACAGAGTAAAATGTGCTGCTTATTGTTTTAAATTCTAGTTTAAAGTTTTTTATCAAGCTGAATAAAAAAAAATATATAAAATAAATTAGCTATAGTACTTATGCCTGTACCAGTGTGGTTTTCAGATAGGGTTATCTACCATTGACCAAATATTTTGCTTGCGCATCATGTTTGAAAAAGGATGTGAATATAAGCTTAAAACACATCATCTTTTTGTTTATTTAAAGAAGCATATGAAAATGTTTATTGGGAACAACTTTATGAGGCAATGAGAGAGCTCAGAATCCCTGAAAATCTTAGAATGGTAAGACTCACCATGGGAGAAGTGAGATGTATGGTGCAAGTTAGAGGAGCAAGATATGCAGAATTCACTTCTGGAAAAGGACTAAGGTAGGGGGATGCGCTGGCATGTCTCCTTTTTGATTTAGTTTTAGAGAAGTCCATTAGAGATTTTGGTATTCAAGTGGGCGGAACAGTATTCAACTGGACAGTGCAACTTTTTGCTTATGCAGATGATATCAACATTGCTGGATGCTCTTTCCAGGCAGTCTCTAATTCATTCTTGAAACTAGTGGAAGCAGCAAGAAAAATTTTCCTTAAAGCCAAGGCTGCAAAAACTAAATATTTGGTCACTGAGGAAAATCCCAAACCGGTCGAAAGCATTACCATCGGAGAATTTCCCATCGAAAAAGTGTCAGAATTTATTTATCTCGGATCCCTCATAACTCATGATAATGTGGATTCTGAAATTAAGTAAAGAGTGCTATGTGCCAATTGTTGTTATGGCCTCAGTTCATATTTTAGGAGCCGTGCTTTAACCAGAGGAACAAAAGTCCTATTGTATAAAACAATTACTCGACCGATACTGCTTTATGACTCAGAAACATGGACTATCTCCCAAAATCTTTGAACTGTGAAAGTTGACCAGTTATGGAGAAGCTGAACAAATCAGGAGCTCAAAGATTTGTTTAAAGAAGCAGAAGTGGTTCATTTCATGAAGCTCGGTAGATTGAGATGGGCTGGGCACGTTGCTCATGTAGCTGAGAATGACATTCCGAAAAAAAACCATGACAGAAGTAATACAAGGAACAAGGCTTACAGGAAGACCTCGGCTTCGGTGGAGTGACGGTGTGGCTGGTGATGGCAGGTCCATATTGGGAGTGAGGAGCTGGATGGCGGCTGCACAGGATCGGAACAATTGGTAGAGGCTGGTACAGGAGGCCAAGACTTGGTATCGAGTTGTCCAACTGAATAGAATAGAATAGTCATTCCATGGTTTTCTTGTATTCTTTACAATGTGAATGTTTTTTTAATCCATTTTCAGCATCCAACTACATGCATTTGAGGTTTAGTTATTTTTCTTATAGTTCATTAACATTGCATACAAAAATTTAACAATTTTCATAAAATTAAGAGATACTCTAATTAGGTTTCCTCTAGCAAAACAAATGGACCAAGCTATGAATTCATACATTGCTGTCATGTCAGTTCAGTATCACCTCAATTTATGATGAAATAATACATTTGTAGGCAAATTTAAATATATTACTGCAGATTCATGTAACTACCATAAAAAAAAAAAGTAACTTCCGTAAAAAAAAATACTGATCTCAGTTGTTCTCTGAATTTTGTTATTAAAAAAAAAAAAAAATGAAATTCAAGTCCTCATTTCCTGATAAAAGGGAACTTTAGAATCTACATATTTGATTTGAGTACAAAATTATTATCCCAGTACATATATTGTTGTTTCGAAAAAAAAGTCAGAAAATACATTTTTGAAGAAGCTAAACTTCTAAGTACATTTTAACCTTATTTATTGATGTTAACAGACAAAATTACATAAAAATAATGCAAAGCCTTTTATGTAGTATTTGAAATAGTTACACAAAGTGCACAATGTTCCGATTTCACAGAGAGAAAATTCATAAAAGTTCTTAGTGGTTTAATTTTCAGAATTGTTACTAAATGATTTTTGCAATAGACCCACGACATTGTATCATTAAAACAATATTTATTTATGTGTTTATTAAAAACTTTCTTCATTATATATACAGTGGGGGGATAAAGATATAGCACCTTAGGTAAGCTTGGTTGTGGTACATGATATAAAAAAGCTGGGCACCCCTGCTATAACAACTTCAATGAGCTAGCCAGTTTGTTTTAAAATAGATTATTCAATCCACCCTCTATGAAAGGTGTAACTTCTATGTGCTAGATCAGGTGAATAATTCAATTACTCGATGAGAAGACATTCAGATAACTTTATTTATTCGACCATTGGAATTTGAGTAATTATTATTGTCCCATCACACAAAGGCTGCTGTAACATTAGTATTTTTTATTTAATCTGTTATACTTTGGACTTGTCATGTTATTATTTTTTTTAATTTGTTTATGAATGAAACATTTTTATAATTAGATGTCTTCATAAAATAAATGTAATATCTTCTCAGCAATAAGTATAAACTTTCAGATACTTTCAGAAAATAATCAAAATCTAATTAATGTTCGAAAATAAATTACCACAAAAAACTATTTAACTCTTAAATTTGAATATTTTTTTTTTAGGAGGCAACAACGTTAAAACAAAAATATTACATATTTTACATATACCTGAAAAAAATTCCATGATAACCACAACAAATGACTACCAAAAATGTAAGTATATGTTTTCTCAATAGAAATAATATACATTGAATCATGTTGTAAGAAGTAGAGGAGGCAGTTGTACTTGAGGTGCTCAATGAAGTAATTTTCTCCAGATATTTATCCACTTTCTTGGTGTGTTTAGAAAATTTCTTTCTTTCGCTGGAAGCCAGTCATTGGAGAAGTGAAGCATTTCAAAAACAAGTAGTCACTGTCAATTTCTGGTTCCTTCATGACCCTGATGTTAATTATATTTTTTTTTATTTGATTTGTTGGAATAATGAAATATTTGAAGATGAATTTATCATTTAGCACCTGCTCTACTCTAGTATATTGACATATACGTTTGTGTGAGAAAATGCTATTAGCTATAATCATGGCCTTTGCCAGACAAAAGTTGAGGATCCTCTCTCTGTTATAGTTGGTTGTTTTTATACCATCTTTTCTTAGATTTCTGTACCATTTTTCTATATATTTGCTCTCTCTGCCATTTAGATCACCCTTGAGAGATGGGTATTCCTTCACATTTGTCCATTTCATTGCTGTAGCATTTTAAGCATATTTTCTATAATTAAATGTTAAGATAAATAATTATTTTTAGTGTTGGCTGGAATTTTTAAATGAAAAAAAAATTATTTTGGGACTTAAGTCCCCTAAGAATAATTATTAAGTTAAAAAAATATGTATGTTAATCTGGCATGAAAAATATAAAACAATACTTGTTAATTTACTGTTATTAGCAATCATAATTATCGAAACAAATCATTCTTAATGAGTTGTGGAAGTTTGTATATGAAGTAGGTGGTGGAATAGCAGTTCTTTAAAGAACTTTGTGGAAGAGGATTGATATCCATATAGCTAAGAAGTTCTAAAATGAGTTAGTCAAATGACAAAGGATTTTCTGAAGGAACTAGCTTTATGGGAGGGAATATATAGATCAATACGTTGAGATCTAGTGTTTAGAGAGAGGCATAGGACTGTAGAGTAAGGAGTTCTAGATTGTAGAGAGGATTTTTGGTTCTGAAGACTTGGAGAAGAAAAATATTAAGGAGGAATTACCCTCGTGAGATTGGATAGAGCCACTTTAACTTTGTATACCAGCAGGAAATATGAGAACGACTGGGAATGCCAAAGATGAATCTTACCAAACAATTTATAAGTCCCTTTAATCTCATCTCCAGTCCTCCATACATCAAGAAACTGTAATCAAAGTGGGGGAAACCAAAGGAGGTTACAAGGAGCTGTCTAGTTTTTGAAGAATAGAATAAGGGTATCATATTTGTTGTTAAAGACAGTTATGGTTTTTTGAGTAATCGGGGAAATGTGGTTATTCCAGAAGAGGTTTTGATCAAAGATTACTCCTAGAGTTTTGACTGTTAGAAAAAAATGATTAAGGTAAAGTAAGGAAGGGAACTGATGAAAGTCTTGGATGTGGGATATGCTGCTAGATAAGAAGAAATATATTTGTTGATTGCCTACATTTTCACCTACCCCTAAATAAATATAAGCATCACTTATCATGTGTTTGATTATTTAGACAGCACCCCTGACCAACTCCTTAAATTTTCTTCTCAATTGAGTTTTTTAATAGAGTTAAAATTTACAATAATGAATTAATGATACATAATTTTGTTTTGTAGTATGGTTTTAAATAAATATTTTAAGTATATTTATTAACCTCAACTGGTATATAACTCTTCTTAAATTTCAGTTATTATAATTAATAATGCTGTTACACCAAGATTAGATGAATTCAATAGTCCTCATAAAGTTTTTTTAGAATCAATGAAAAAGAAAGAAAGGAAAAAATTCAAATTCCCATTGAAGAATCAAAACTGTAAGTTAAACCTATATTAGAACCTACAACTATATTAAGCCAAGAACCTATATTAACCCAATTCATAACTATACAAAAAAATACCTCACAACTTTATGGTATTAATAAATAAATTATATTCTACTTAATATTTTTTTTATTATGGGTTAAAACCAAATTTTATTCTAATTTCAATTTTAAGTAGATACTTATGTATTTTATGACATCACATTTTTTTTATTACCGATATTTTTACAACATACACTCACTTGTCCTGCCTAAAAGTCCTAGCTAATTCTTTCGGTTTAGGCAATCTTCTGCAGAGAAATCTGGAGAATAACCTGGTTGTTCCACAACATGGAATTTACGGAATTATTTTAACCATTATACCCATGTAGGAGCTTCCATATTTAGTTATCCATTTCCCAAGATATTTGAATTCTTGCTAATTCCTTATGTTCCAAGGATAGAGCTCTTACATTTCCATAAATGTGAGGTACTTTGTTTTTTTCTTGTTTACCTACAAACCCCATGGTGTTTATTCTTCCAGGAGCTTTCTTATTATGTAGCTAGTACCTTCATTATCATTGGCTACTACCACCTAGTCGTCAGCGAATTGTAGGATATAAAGGTATTATCACCTATAACCATTCCTATACATTTTTTTCTTCTATGTTTTTTAAATCTATTTAACACAAATGTTGGACAACAGAATAGATAAGGAAAATTCTTGTTTCAGTTCTTTACTAATAGGAATGTGAAGTCCATTTTTGGGTTCTCTCACTCTAGTACATTATAAAGCCTTTTGATGGTTTTCATGAAATAATTTCTTACTTTTATGTTCTCTCAGGATCAATGAAAATCATGTGTAATGATTGGCTATTACAGGCATTCTAAGTTTTCAATTAATTGGGTGAGTGTGAAACTGATTTAGCAGAACATTTTTCTTGTAACCTTGAGCTTATTATATGCTCATAAAGGCTAATGCTGCCTGTTAACGCCCCATACGTTCATTCCTTCATTTTTTTAATTATTATTTTTTCTCACCATTTGTCCCTTTTTAGTGTGAATAATGGAATGAATATTTATTATTTTTTTGTAATAGGCCGAGGGATATTGTCCCTAAAATATATTTAAGTTTATATTTGACTCCGTTTGCGATGTGTTATCGCGTTTCTGTATACGCTCCAGCCCGGCAGTGGTACCCTGTCTTGGGGATTAAGACACAAATACTGCGGTAATACTGTTGGGTCCTCAGTCGGGAGCTATCTTTCATTCATAGCAGACGTATACCCCCACCATCTTCACCAAGCTCCAGGCCGTCTTGTCTCGCTCATCTCACCAGCGCCATTTTCGAAGATCAACTGTTGGGCGCAGCTGAGTAATCGATAAATATCGATACCACCACACCATCGATTGCTCGACAGCTGGACATCGAAAGGTAACCAGGTGGAACCTCCAACCTGGCTCGTATTTTTTTTTCTATTCTCACCAAGACATTGAACATTTAGTTGATTTTCGGTTCTCTCAATAAATTTGTTTTATTCTTTTGGACAATCATTTTTCTCTCTTTTTTTATTTATGATTTTAGAAATTGATTTCTTTTTGCTTTATTAATAATTGTTAATTTGGGTTTATGTTCACTGAGTATTATATTTTGTGTTTTATTCATTTCAGTGAACTTCATACCATTCTTTATTTGATCTTAACTTTTGTACATAATTAAATCTTCTTTTATCAATAAATTGTAAACATTCAAAAGGGGATTTTTTATTTTCCATTTTTTTTATTTATTGAAATATTTTTATTTTAATATTTTCTTGTGCATGCACATTTGTTATGTTTTACAGGTCTCATTTATTCACTAATTTTTTTTTCTCCTTCTTTCCCAAAATTTAATTTTTCTCGAATTTTCCCCACCATTGAGGAAACGCACCGGGGAAAGATCTGTACTTCGAATTTGAAGTACCCCTGACCCCAACACTGCCAGTAACTGAAATACCTCTGTAATTAGAATTCCCCTTTTTGAAAATATTTGTCACATTGTCTTCAGTTCATTCTTCTGGCATTTTTCTGTTTTTTATGCATGCTGTCATAAGATTAGCAAAGCAATGTTTAAGTTTGTCACAAACTTATACCTTATACTTTATACAAACGTATAATGGATATCACATCCATGCTTAATCAGCTCAATAATAATATTTTCTGGACCAGAATATCTCCCATCTTTTATCCCATTTAGTTCTTCCTCTGTGTCTTGAAAAGCTATTGAATTATATTATATTATGTTATATACTAATATTAAAATTATTTAAATATATTATACTACTTTTTTTTTTGTTATAGCGAAAAACCGATTCAAAAAACTTAAAAAGAAAAACAAGTTAAAATCAAAAATACAGAAGAAAATCCTATCAGGAATTCATCTAGATAGTGAGTAAATCCAGATCTAATAAGTTTTTATATAATATTTTAGTTAAAATTCCATTTTTTGAAGATCTACAGTTGTCTCATTATTTTAATTCAAAAAACAGTGTGAAAGACCATGAAAGAGTGGATGATCAAATTGTACACGTATCAAAGAATTAAAATAATATCTTTTAATTTAAAATTTAATCTTATTTTAAACTTTAATTTATTTATAAGTATTCAATAATACTATCTAATGTATGAACAAAATTATTGCTATTCTCAGATATTAAAAATTAAAACAATCTATCCTCTTTGTTTTCTATTATCAAATGTTAATAAGTAGTAATAAAGTTTTAGTTTATTTTCTAAAAAGTTGTTTGATTTTTATTACACTTGTTTTTGTTTATAAAATATTTTTATTATTGAATTATATTATATGTTAGTAGAACCACAATAACCCAAATTATTATAATATTTTAAGATTTATTTTTAAACTTTGCAATTTAAGCTAAAATCTTTAGTATCTATATTTATTTTTATCTTTTTTGGGGGGTTGGCTCCATAGATGATGTCAATCTTTTGACGTACAATGTAGCCTATTTACAGACGTATGTTGCTTATTTCTTTTCAAAAGCAGATTGTCCATGAAACTAACCTCTGTGTCCTAAACTACTGTCATCCTAGGAAACCACATCACGACTACATAGGGTAGGGTACATGGGGTAGGGTCATATGTATATATATATATATATATATATATATATATTTTTTTTTTTTTTTTTTTTTTTTTTTTTTTTTTTTTTTTTTTTGGTTGGGTCTACAGACCTTGTTGCCGCCTGAACCAGCCTTCTCCACCTCTGTCTTTCTTGGGTTACTGCTTTCCAGTTTGCGACATGAAGCTCAGCCGTATCTTTATTTATCCTATCTATCCATCTGGTTTTTGGCCTCCCACGTGGTCTCTAGCCTAGTACTCTGGCATTCATTGTTGTGTAAAGGCGTCCTGATGGATTGCTGCATGCCCCGCCCATCTTAATCTCCTTGCCTTCTTGTCATGCGATATTGACTGACCCGTTTCTTTCAGCAATTCTTTATTGTTTCTTCTCCTCCGTGTGTCAAGGTTGTGGTCCCATATAGGTCCTGTTATCTTGCGTAGAACTTTTCTTTCGAATCTCTCAATTATGGCTTCTATTGTGCCAGTTCAAGCCCAGGTTTCAGTTGGCCTCTGACTTTCATAGAGTGCGGTTGTACTGTGGAGTTATTCGGACTGTTTTTATATTTCATTTATTCATTTTATTTTCATGTATTTTGTCTTCTTTTTTTTAAATGTAATTAATGAAACCCGGCGAAGAATTAAGTGATTCGCCCGGTGTTTCCCTCACTACTAAAACGAACGTAGACCAACTTACGGACGAATCCTGTTCTAAGAAGAGAGTTCATGAAGCTATTGATTCACCTCAATCCCGATCACCAGTTAAAAAAATGGGCAAGTACTACCAGGAAATCGCTCCAATTAAAGTAAGCAATAGCTTTAATCATCTTACTGAAATTGACCTTTCATCCGATAAGCACACTACAGCAAGTACTAGTTATAAAAATAACCCAAATGTTCAATCCAATGATATTAGAATACCACCGATATTTTTACACAATGCTAACAATTACAGACTTCTATTAAATGACCTAAATGCATTATGTATCGGACCATTTAATACGCAACTGGCCGGTAACAACACAAAAATAATGCTATCAACCATTGAAGACTACAGAACTATGACTAAATATTACGATGAAGAAAAAATTGAATATCACACATTTTCCTCAGATAAAAATAAATATTTAAACATTGTCATAAGGAAGGTCCCTTATAGCATAACCGAAGATGAATTAAAGGCCGAGTTAAATTCCAAACAGTTCGAAGTTGTTTACGTTTCCAGAATATTGAATAAAGATAAGAAACCTACTCCTCTCTGCTCAGTGTCTATTATAAACAATGAAACGGCTAATGACATTTTCAATCTTAACAATTTATTTTCTGCTTTAATTACAGTCGAACCTAAACACAAGAAAAATGATATCCCCATGTGTACCAACTGTCAGAGGTACGGCCACACAAAAAATTATTGTCATTTAGAGCCCCGGTGCGTTAAATGCAAAGAAAAACACCACTTCTCTAAATGCCCGTTAAAATTCACAGATAAGCCATTTTGTGTAAACTGTAAATTGGCCCATGCAGCTACCTACAAGGGTTGCGTCTATTATCAAAATATAAAAAATAGAGTAAATTCACCTCTAGAGCCAACTAGTCAAAAAACTGAGAATATTTCTTCTAGACCTGCCTCCAGAATTACTTCAAAACAGTCATTCGCAGACACCATTAGACCGATAACAAAACAATCGGAACGAAAACCTCAGCCCACAGTTAATCAAAACATTGAAATAAACGGCGATAATTTACTGTCAACAATAACTAAAATTATTATCGATGCTATCAAACCGTATTTACCACAAATTATGACACACCTATCTTCGCTCGTAGCTTCTTTATTTACTAATGGACCCTAAAGTAAACACTATCTTATCTGTTACTAACTCGTTCGAGACTAACTGCGCATTATTCCAGATCACGTATTATTTCATTTATTTCCAAATATTAATTTTTTATATATGACTGCAGAACTAAAAAAATTAAATATTTTAAACTGGAATGCGCATGGCATATCATCTCAAAGAAATGAATTTAAAATTTTTCTTGAATCAAATTTCATCGACATAGCCTGCATAACCGAGACACATCTATCTCAAAACATCACATTTAGAATCCCAGGTTACAAAATCTTACGAAAGGATCGAGAATGTTCGACTGCTTCCGGCGGTGTAGCCTTAATAATTAAGAATAATATTAGCTTCACTGAAAACATTATTGATAATATTTTAAATATCGAAGTCATATCAGTTCGTTTACATTCATTTCCCTCTACAGTCGTTACGGCAGTTTATAAACCTCCAAACAAAAAACTACTCCAAGATGAAATTTTAAAACTCTTGCCATCAGGAGACCATTCTTTAGTTCTAGGTGACATGAACAGTAAAAACATCTACTGGGGCTGTCGTAAATCAAATTCTAGCGGAAATATTTTGCTAGAAATTTGTTCTAGGCACAATATTCAAATCCATACGCCAAATGAACCTACTTTTTATAGACCAGGCTGTAATCCCGATATTTTGGATATTGCACTCACCAAAAATTGTAGGCTTCCTCTCTCATCTCACGTTATCACAGCCTTAAATTCGGACCACATCCCTGTACTAATTAATTTTTCAACTGAGCTAAATGTAGTGCCGAAGCGAAAATCACTCATTAATGGAACGATTGACTGGGAATTATACAAAATCTTAGTAGCTGAGAAAATAAATCTGAAAAATAATTTTTCTACTGCCCTTGAAATCGAAGAAAATATAAATAAACTAAATGAGTCTATCTCGAATAGTCTACAGGAAGCAACCGTACGACCTTTCCAGTTAGTGAGGAAAAATTTTTCAAGGAGTTGCCCAAAATCAATTCTGTCAAAAATTAAAGAAAAGAACCATGCAAGGAGACAGTGGATGCGCAACAGAGATCCTACTTACAAAAAGACATGGAACCACCTCAAACACGTAATTAAAAAAGAACTGGATGAATGGGTGTATTCCAAATACCAAAATTACGTAAAAGATTTAGACCCAAAGGACCAATCTCTGTGGAAGGCTACTCGGTGTGTACTAAGCAAATTTGAGAAAATTCCTAGTCTGGAAGAGAATGGTGGATACATCATCAGTGACGCAGAAAAAGCTGAAGCATTTGCAGATTACTTTGAGAAAACGTTCTCTAACCCAGAATGCGAAAGAAGTCCGCATTCACCAAATGTTGATGTTGAAGATTATTTAAAATTGCCCCTAACAACTGTACAGCTTCCGATTAAATTCACAACCCCTAAAGAAATTCAAGAACTAATTAGGAGTCTCAAAGTAAAAAAAAGTCCAGGACATGACCTTATACCAGTTATTGCGTTAAAAAATTTTCCTAGAAAAGCTCTCGTTTACATTACGTCTATATTTAATAGCTGTCTACGCACTGGATATTTTCCCGAAACGTGGAAGAAAGCTGAACTCGTAGTAATTCATAAGCATGGTAAAAATGCTAAACAAGTCAGTAGCTATAGACCGATAAGTTTATTACCCATAGCTGGAAAATTACTACAGTCAGTCATAAAAAGACATCTTGCATCCTTTTTACAATGTAATAGCATTATTCCTGATTTTCAATTTGGTTTTCAGTATAGTCATTCCACTTCACACCAACTGGCAAGATTATCAGAATTCATAGTAAATGGATTTGAAATGAAAAAACATACTCTTGTGACGTTTTTAGACTTTCAACAAGCGTTTGATAAGGTTTGGCATTGTGGTCTATTGTACAAGCTAAAGAAAGTGGACACGCCCAAATATTTATATGACGTTCTGAGCTCATTCCTCAACGGCAGAACATTTACAGTTAGAATAAATAATATAAATTCAACCTTAAGACAAATCCATGCCGGCACCCCACAAAGTTCTGTTCTTTCTCCCATACTTTTTAACTTTTATGTTCACGACATTATCCAATCCACAAACACCTCCATAGCTATGTTTGCCGACGATACAGCTGTCTTTTCCCAACACAATGATATATTAATAGCCAGAAATACACTGCAGTCTTACCTAGTAAATCTAGAACAATATTTTAAAAAATGGATGATTTGTCTCAACACCGAAAAATGTACAGCAAAAATTTTTACTCTTAGACGTCCCTCAGACCCACCTGAACTGATTCTCAAAAATAAAGAACTAAAATGGAACCCAGCTAGTGAAGCAGTAAAATACCTCGGAGTTTATCTGGACCGCCGCCTTACGTGGAATTACCATATAAATAATAAACTGACCCAAACATACGCAAGGTTAGCAATGTTATATCCCATAGTAAATAGAAAATCTAGTTTAAAACCAGAGACAACTGTTCTTATTCATAAAACCATACTAAGACCCTTGCTAATGTACGGATGTGAAGTCTGGGGAGCAGCTTCAGCTACGAAAAGAAAAAAACTACAATCCTTTCAAAACAAGGTATTAAGAATTGCAGTAGATGCCCCCTGGTTCATAAGAAACGCTCAACTACATCGAGAACTAAAAGTGGAAACAATAGATGAATTCATCAAAAAACGATTTAAAAAATTCCATACGCAGCTACCAGCAGTTAAAGGTGCAGTGGCCTACAACTTAGGAAACCCAACCTCATCTCGAAGACTGAAGCCCAGACTGATCCAAGACATCATGTTATGAACAATTAATAATTTTCTCTTTATTAATTGTAATTATTCAATAATTATAATGTATAAATAGTTAGGGGTGTCTTTTGCAAAGACTATACCCCACCAGAACAAATTGTTAAAAATCATCAAATTGTTACGACAACCATGTAAGGCCCACCAGGCCGATCTGGTAATAAATAAATTCAAAAAAAATTTAAAAGCCCAGGTTTCACAACCGCACAGCAGAACTGGCTTAATCACGGCAGTGCACACACTTATTTTTAGATTTCTGGAGATTTTTCTGGATTGCAGTAGCCTTGAAAGAGACAAGAAAGATCTTTCCGCACTTGTTATGGTATATCTCTGTTAGTTGATCATTTATTGAGGTTATTATGGAGCCGAGGTATTTGAATCTGTCTACTTTCGGGAATGACTTTGAGTCCACGCAGATCATGTTATTAGGGTGGATGTTTCAAATAACTATCATGTATTTAGTTTTATCTCCATTGACTTGTAGTCCGATTTGTTCTGCTTCTTTTAACAGAGTCCGAGCGAGTCTCTCAATATCCTCTTGATACTCCCGAGGACAGCTATATCATCCGCATATGCTAAGATTTTATGTTTCATTCCAACGTGCACCCCTCCATCTTCGCGTGATGTTGTTCTTATCACGTTCTCTAGTGCTAAGTTGAACAGCATCAGCGAGAGTCCATCTCCCTGCCTCAAGTCCGTTCGAACTTCATTTGTACACGCCTTCGTCAACCTCACTAACTTCCTGGGAATGCCCAGCTCAGTCATGATCTTCCAGAGACTGAGTCATAGGCTGCTTTGAAGTCGACAAATAATGTGCGTACGTTCTGATCTACTTCCCATCGTTTTTCGAGTTCTTGTTTTAGGATGAATATCTTATCTAGCATACTCCTTCCTCTCCTAAATCCTGTTTGATGGTCGCCTATTATGTTTTCATAATATGGATATATCCGATTTAGTAGAAAATTAGTCATTATTTTATAGGCATCCGGAAGAAGTTCTAAGCCTCTGTAATTTCCACATTCGTACATGGAGCCCTTCTTAAACATAGGACAGATCAACCCTTGTTCCATGCTTCTGGTATCCGTTCCTTCTCCCATATCTTCTGGATTAGATCTAACAGCTTGGCTCTAAGGCCTTCTCCCCCATCCTTGAACAATTCTGATGGTAGGTTGTCTATCCCTGGAGCCTTTCTTCTTTTAAGCCTGCCGATAGCTATTTCCACATCCAGAATATCTGTCTTTTCAACCTCAAGTGGGTTGCCCTTAATTAAGCAGCTGCTGAAAGTGTTCCTTCCATATGCTTAGGATCTTTTCTTTTGATGTCGTCAATTTACCATCTTTGCCTCGCATTTGTTTATTTCTCGCTTTATATCCTACCCTTTTTTTCCTGATATCTGCGAAGAATTCCCATATATTTCCAGTCTGCCAGTTTTCCTCAATAGTTTGTAATCTTTCTTTGAGGAATTCTCTTTTGGCTGTTCTTATTTTGTTTGTCTTTTTCCTGGCGACTGTGTATTTGTTCAGCATCGCTTGATCAGTCGGTAAGCAGAGGACTTTTCTTCTTTCCTCCACTGCCTTTTCGCAAGCTTCTATGAACCATTTCTTGGCTTTTCTTTTTTCCTGAGTCCTTATTACGTCCTTAGCTGTTTGTTTTAGCCTTGACTCTAGTGCTTCCCAGTGTTGGTCAACCGTGAGGCCTTCCGAGTTCAAGGGTTTGAATTTATTTTTCAGCTCAATTTGAAATTCAGCTTGTACTATAGCTTTTTAAAATTACGGACTTCGTAACTCTTTCTTTCCACTTGGTCCCCAATTAGATTGATTCGCTTCAGCCTCCGACAGAGTTTGATTCTAATCGGAGTATGGTCCGAATCACAGTCTGCTCCACGATAACTCCTCATTTCTTGTATGGAGTTTTGATGCCTCCTGTCTATCAGAACATGGTTGATTTGGCTTTTTGCTCCTTTAGGACTTACCCAGGTATACTTATGTATGTCCTTGTGCAGAAACATCGTACTGCTTACAACTAGACCTTTAGCAGCTGCCAGACCAATGCATCTAACTTCATTGTCATTGCTAGTTTCGTAGAAATTTTGGCCTCCGATGAAGGGCATAAATTGGGGTTCTCGACCTATCCTTGGCATTGAAGTGTCCCATGACTAATTTTATGTCATATTTTCGAGCCTGGTCCACAACTTTTTCTAACTGATCGTAGAAATCGTCCTCCACCTCATCCTCTTTTTCTTCGGTGGGTGCATACTGTATATATATTCATACATACATATTCATATATAGATATGTATTATAGGTTATGTTATGTTGTTTTTTAGAATATTCAGCATCTTGGGTCATTAGAGTTCTTCTTTTCTTTTTTACTTATGTTTTTTTTTTATTTTATATTTTGTTGAAAAGTTTGTTTTCTTTTAGAAGTTTATTTTTTTTCCTTATGATTGTAATATTGTTTCCCAATTTTCTTTCAATTTGTTGCCATATGTAGCTAATTTTTATTTTTATGACTTTTTGATGACTACCTCTTCTCTTCTGCTACTGAAGTTAGATATTTCTTTCAAGCTTTTATTTTTTCTTAACATTCTTCAATTTATTTCACAAATATTGAATATTTTTTACATAGTGAACATTCCCCTTTCTACTTAACATGTTCAATCTCAATATTATATTGTTTGAAAATATATTACCATCCAACCTGACACAACTGCATCATTTTCTCAATAAATATATCGGATGATATGGTATAGTGTTTTCTTGCATTTGTAGGAGGATATAATTTGGAAAATTGAGGACTAAATCATGGGTCTGAGTTTTCTGATCCTGAAGGAAGCCACTCCTTTCCCACTTTCTTCTCTATACTTGTTGCACCATCACTAGAGCATAGGTTCTCATTCTCTACTAACCATGTAATTTATCATTCTCAAAACTTCCTATGATATGCTGAATTCATTTTTTACAATATTTTCCAATTGCATTAGTATACAGTAGTGCCCAGTTCAATATTAGCTTTCTTCTTAGAAATATCAACAAGCTTTAGCTTAAAAACCTGTTCTTTTATTCCTCTGTTTATTAAACATATCTTTATTTCTGTATCTTAAGTTATTTATAAAAATCAAAAACTTTTCACAAGCATATTTTGAACTGCTTTTCTTTAAATACAAATGGTGGTATTTTTTTTCTATACAATAAATGTGGTTAGGAGGACAAACAAAATCTAGCTTTTGATGCTCTGGCTTTCTTAAGTTGTTATATAGTAGTTTTCAATAATATCACCTACATGTCTGAAAAAATTAGAAGTTGGAATTTTTTTCAACTACAAGATAGTATAAATAAGCATTGATGTGAAAAGCTCTTCCACCAACTTGTATCAGTATGCCATGAGCTATTTCATTATAAATTCTTAAAAAAATTAATTTTGCACTCTAAAATTTAGGTAATCTGGATTATAATTTTCATAAGTCCAAATATTCATTCAAAACAGAATGTGGACAATTAAAAAATAACTAACTGGCCTGTTATTCATTCAAATCTAATGATCCAGGGTGCAAAATTATTTATATCTAATTCACTCAAAATCAACATATTTTTGTTGGTCAATTGTAGATTTTTGATTACATTATTATTTTTAATAGATTTACTAAAGAAAAAAATGTATGTTAATAAATATTTAATAATTTCAGTTTCATATATTGGGGCCTTGGTACCGGGTTATATATTTCAGTTATAGTATTATAGGACTTTGCACTATAAAACTCTTTAAGATGTTTTAACTTGATATTATTAATTTGACTTTTTCCACTCTGTCTCCTAGACAATTAACTTTTCTTGGATTAAATATGTATGATTTATTTTATTTATTTATTTATTTTTTATAGATAAGCCCAATTCCATTTTTAAGCTGAACAAGTCTATTCTACACTATAAAGAACCATTGAAAAAAGTATTGAAGATAAAAAACTCAAGCTTAGCAATTGAAAGAATAAAAGTCCTTACAGGTGAACCTAATATATCTATGAATAGTGGTGAGTGTGTCTTCCATATTTAATTGTTAAAAATAATGTATGATGAAAATCACTTTTGAGATTGTGTATGATATTGGAAAAAAGTAAAATACTAAAGAATATTAAAACAAACCCACCTCCCTCAGATATTAATGAAAATTTTTAAATAAAATTATAATAATATACTAAATGTATATTAAGTAAATGTACATGTAAGTAAAATACCAATTTTTAGTCAATTCTAACGGCCACTCTCAGAATTATAGGCTTTTAAACTTTTGAACTATTTGAAGTTGGGAAGACATTTATGGCTCAAAACCAGCATGTACCTGTTTGGTTTTCATTGGTAAAACCAATATTCATTGACGTAGAGCTTTAAAAATGTATTCATTTGTCACAAATTTAATACAGAATCTGCTCATATAGAAACTTTTAGCATTATAATTTTTCTTTATGTATAAATAAAATCATAAACATAAAGTTTCAAAATAGTGGTAAAAATATTTAAAACTACCTCTAGCTAGAATCTCTCTCCAAATACCCCAATACAACCGTATATTAGTGAAATTAGAATAGTAATTAATACTCATTACTTGATGTGATTATTGGTGAATACCACTCCAGTATCTAATTTTAATATATTTTGACCTCTATAGTTTTGAATTCTACCTCCTTACCTTCTTCCTACCTTAAATACTTAAGGAGTCATTCACTCTCCAATTTATTAATTACAGACATTATTTCATTGACCATACCGATACCGCAATACGCAGACATCTTTTTTTATTAATATTATAACAAACCTCATTAAACTCAATGGCTCCCTCCAATGTTACTTTATCATTTGGAAGAGTATTACATGTTGCTTAAGTAATATATGGTTGTATTCGGAGATAGATTATAGCAATTTATGTAAGTGAAAATTGCTATAATCATGCAACTGATAAATTAAATTTTAATCTATTGGGTTTAAATTGTAAAATAACTCTTCAAACTCAAAATCCCACTAATATTATTATTTCATTTGATAGAGAATTTTATCCCTTTTTCACTAATATATGGTTGTATTAGGAGGTATTCATAGAGATTTTTGCTACAGATATTTTTCGATATCGATTAGCACACCATTTCTGCATAAACTTATTTGATTTACATTATAATATATTCCTTATAACTCAAAATTCGACAGATATTATTTCATGATCTGATAGAAAAATTCATGCTCTTTTCAGTGATAGGTGATCATACTTGGATATTTGGAGAGAGATTTAAGCAAATTACACTTGTATTTGTAACTGGTAAATTAAAATTTACTGTATTGTGTTTAAAGTGTAATAAGACTCTTCAAACTCAAGATCCCACTAATATTATTTTTGTAAACAGTATTCCATTAACTGTGGTTCCAATCAACTCAACCAGGTTTTGGAACTTCTAGAAAAGTAAAACAGTTGTTTATTTTTACATTGAAACCGATTTTCCGCTAATTAAATTTTATTTAATGCGAAATAAAAAATCAACCAATATTTGTAATGCTTTTATTTTATTGATTTGTTTTAATTCATATTTCATTTGTAGATATTAATACATCAATGTAATGTCAAGTAAACTAACCGCCCTCCGTGAGTTAATTGGATTAAATAAAGACAAATCGAAAATTACAAAACCATTCTCTCCAAAATAAATGTCCAATTGTGTTTCTCACTACAAAAAAAAAAAAAAAAAAAAAAAGGTTTTATTTAAGTCTTGGAACGAATGCATCATTAGTCAGACACTTTGTGAAAATATCTAAAAATATTCCAATTAAAAAATAAGTTCCATTATTAGCACATTATAATTTAATAATTATAATTGGGAGTTTTAGGCAAAATCTTCTGTTGTTTAGATTTAATTACTCTGAAATCTATAAATTATTTAGATAATAAATTTAACATTAGTAAATTTTACTTTCATGAGCGAAAATTAGAACGCATTCCTTGTGAAGGTTGAGGGAGTTCAAATGTAAATTTCATCAGTTTAATCCAAATAGTCGTTAAATCCACTGTTGATAAAGCCTAACTTTTGAAAACATATTTGTAAATTGCCATTATATCTATTGATGCAAAAACTCATTGAGTGCATTGAAATAAGATTAAACTATTACATGTCAAAATTAGTCGCACTAAGTGCATAATGTTTTGATTTCAAAGAGCAAAAATTAATCAAAATACTTGAATAAGCTGATGATTTTCTTCAACGAAAAAGGAATATTTCGTTAATAACAGTTCTTTTCGATTATTTTTGCCAGCCTTTCCACCTTTTTTTATCTCTATAGATACAAATTACGTAATTTGAAAATAAAGGGTTCACTGATTACATTACAGACTAAAAAGCAAAGCGAATTACAATAGAGCTCTTCTGTATTGGCGTGCTAATAAATCTGTGATTTTCTTTTACTTTCAACTTGTTTTGGACAATAGTTGCGAAAAACAATTTTTCCATTAGCTGTAAAAACCGATTCATGTGTACAGGGTTTTCATCAAAACTTTTGAGGGGGCATATTTTTACGGGTTTTTGAATTTTTTAGGGGAGCGAATTTCGACGGGGTTATGAATTTTCGGACTAACAAGGGGAAAACATGGAACAGACCGCAGCAAGTGTAGTTGTATATTTTACCTTAGTTTGCTAGAAAAAGTTACTAATAAAATATCTAGGAAGGAGAGGGGGGAGGGTAGGTTCCTGCTCCATCGATCTTGGGGAGATGGGCACTGCTGCATGTGCATTGTTGTATGGCTCAATTCAAGATAACAACTTAGACGAAAACATAGAACTTAATCTTGGCAATTTAGAGAACTGATATGTGAGTCTTACAAAAATCGTAAACAACAAATTGAAAATGCAGCCGCGGATCCAGCCGGGGGGCGCCCTTCCCCCTCCCCTCCAAAAGTTCCAAAATGTAGCTATTTAAAGAAATGAGAAATGTAGGGAAAATTCATCCTCATAGACGATGAATACCCTAAAGCAATATAAAAAAAAATTATCATCGTGACCAGCATTAGCGAATTCTGTGAGGGGTGCGACCTCCCATGGATGTTGGGGAAAAATCCGAAAATAGTGACAAAGACATTTATTTAAAGAAAAGAGAAATGTAGAGAAAATTCATTCTCATACACGAATTTCCTAATGTAATATAAAAAAAAAATATTATCGTGAGCAGCACCACTAACGAATTCTGCCAGGAGGCGCGCCCTCCCTCAAATGGTGAAAATAATTCCAAAAAAAGTGACAAAAACACCTGTTAAAAGAAAAAAGAAATATAGGGAAAATTTATTATCATTCACGAATTTCCTAATATAATATAAAAAAATAATTATAATCGTGAACTAGCGACTTCTACCAGGAGGCTCCCTTGGATGGCTGAAAAAAAATCCAAAAAAAAAAACCACCTATTTAAAGAAAAGAGAAATATGGAAAAAAAATCATCCTCTAAGACGAATTTTCTAATTTAATATAAAAAAAAGTTATTTTCGTGACCAGCATTAGTAATTTCTTTCAGGGGGCGCGCTCCCCTCTGGATGGTAGAAAAATAATTCCGAAAAATGTATCCAAAAAACAGTTATTTAAAGAAAAGATAAATATAGGAAAAATCATTCTCTAGGTCGAATTTTTTAATGTGATCAATATCTCATCTCGAGCTCGACAATCCATTATTCTATCCTTGGCTGCCTCAAGAGTTTTCCTCCATGTTTTTCTTTCCTGAGCATCCTCTACCAGTTCCTGATTCCATGTATTCTTACTCCACTTTCCATCTCAGTTTCGGTCAGTCCACTTTTCTTTTTCCAGCCTGCTCCATGCTCAGCAGGTTCTTTGGGATTGAGGTCTCGTCCATCCGTACAACTTGTCCCTCCGATCTCAGCCTGATTCTGATATATTTCACCACATCCGGCTCCTTGTACAAGTTAGCTAGTTCTTGGTTGCATCTAATACTCCATTCACTATTCTCCTTAACTGGGCCAAATATCCTCTGAAGGACCTTTCTTTCGAAAACAAATATTTTAAGCACCTGTTTAATGAAAAGAGAAATATGGGGAAAATCCATCCTCATAGACGAATTTTCTAATATACTTACTTACATACTAAATCCAGTCCTCTTTGTTACCGCTGAGCAGTGTGAGGTTCCTTCTTATAAAGCTTGATCCAAGAATCTCTATCCTGGGCCAGCTTTCTTCTCCTATTCCAGTTCATTCCTATCCTGTCAAAGGCTTCTTTAATTCCTTCTTCCCATCTTTTTCTTGGTCTTCCCTGTGGCCGCCTCCCTTCCACTTTGACCTCGTAGGTAGCCCTGGAAACTCTGTTTTCAGCCACCTAAGTTGGTTTTCTTGGATTATTTCCTCTGCAGGCCTCAGGTCCAGATTAACTCTTATGATCACATTCCTAACGCGATCTCTTCTTGTTTTCCCCTCTAGTTTCCTGAAATATCGCCTTTCCATAGCTTGGATTTGGCTTTTGTGCTAGGAGGTGAGATCTAAGACTCGCTTGCATATGTTAATATACGGAGGAAGGTATTCTTGAAGACAATCTTCTTAGTGGCCTTTGAGACTTCCTTCTTGTCCAAGAAGCCTGACTTGATGGAGTAGAAGCATTTTCCTACAGTCTTAATTCTTTCTTTTATGTCTTCATCAACCCATCCGTACTCATTGAGGTGAGCCCCAGGTATATAATATCCATTACTTGCTCCAGGCGGATTCCACCCATCCGAACGATCCAGTATCCTCGGTCACTTCTTCTCCCAATCCTCATAAATTTTGTTTTAGAGATGTTAATTTTCATGTTTATATTCCTCAACTCAGTTTGAAGGATCTTGAGGTTGAACTGCAGATTACGACATTCTTTTCCGAATACCACCATATCGTCAGCAAAAGCAAGCACTGTACACTGGAGGCACTGAAGGTTCCTATATCCAAGGTGGTATGGCCTCATTTTCTGTTTTGCTTGTTTTAGGGCAGAGTCCAGCACTAGTATAAACAAGCGGGGACTAAGGCTGCATCCCTATTTGATTCCTTGATCTGTTGAGAATTCTTTTGATGTATGGTTGCACACCCTGACAACATTTTTCTGTATTTCATATAGACCTAATATAATATATTAAAAAAATATATTATCGTGACGAGCAGTAGTGAATTCTGCAAGAAGGCGACCCTCCCCCTGGATGGTAGACGAAAAGTTCCAAAAACCAGCTATTCAAAGAAAAAAGTGACGTAGTTTTTACTACGGTAAATTAGCGTTCATTGGCCGTGGTTATCGACCATGTAACTTAATCAAATTATATCAAGTTTAGTTACTCGTTCGACACACTATCTGACGTTCTTTAATTTCTTAAGGAATACGTTTTTAGCTTTGATGTACTGTTTAGTAGTAATACATGAAAAAAATATCAGATAAATCAGGATTTTTCGGCTGTAAAAAGTTTTCTCTTGATGACCCTTGTCAGAATTTAGTTTTTTATATGTATAAACCCATATATAGGGTGTCTCGTAAGTAGAGGGAAATATTTAAAGGAGTGATAGCTGGACTCAATAAATACATAAAATTTATATAAACAATGGTTCTATTTTCAGCAGAAAAGTAGGGGATTGTAGCGGTAATTAGTTCCCGCTCTTGCCACAGGGTACAACTAGTTCGCCTACCCGCTACCAGACAGCGCCCTACAAGCTCGCCCGTGCAACATACTAAAAATTGTATCTTTTATTATTTATTATTGTATTATAAAATACTGAAATTGTAAATAGGAATATGTATACACGTTGTAAATACTTAAATACGCAGATGATCAGTATATGTTTCATATTCGCTTTTTGGTTCACCTTAATCTGCTCTTCTTATTTCACGATCTCCACAAACCTTTTTCCTATGCTCTTACCCCATGCAAGTCTGGACGCCGATCCGTCCACTTGCAGTCCTATATACTAAGTCAGGAGATTGATCTCTCCGTTAGTATTTCATCCTCCCACAAGTCCGGAGATTGATACTTCCAGTTGTGGTAACCATCCTTGAAGAGTATGAAGGCTGATCCCTTATACCGCAGACCAAGAGTGATTGGAGTGTTGATCCGCCTGACACTTAAGGTCATCCATCTATACATCTGCCTTCATCCAATCAGACCAATCAGTTTTGTGATTTTTCATGTAAGCCACGTTTTTTGTTGAATAGAAAGTGGTAACAAAAAACTATTTAATTTAAGTAATTAACGATTGCTGCCTGGTAAATTAGACAAAATTTACTTTATATAAAAGTAGAGTTTGCTAATGTTAAAACCATTTAAAGAAAACTTTTGAGAGGCTAAACTCAGCTAAGGATTGGGGAGAGATTTGTAGTGGTGAGGGAAAGGGTAGGGGTGAGGAAAGCACCTGATACAGAGTTGCGCCCCCCCTCTCAGAAATTTTCTGGATCCGCCTCCTTTCGCAGAGGCAATATCGTAACAAATGAAGGTCTACTGAGGTGCGATTATTGCTAGTTGAAAACTTTTACCAAGGGCGGGGTGACCGAATTGGCTAAGGCGTTGATGTATGATAAATGATAAAAAAATAGTCATGAGTTAGCGTCCCGGCGCCAAGGCATCTTTTAAATCCCCGCCCACACCCTCTGTCACGGGAAAACCCCGTATAGCCTTAACGGCGAGGAAGGGGAGGACCCAAAAAAAAAAGAAAAGATCTGCCCCTGTGTTGACCTGGGAGAAGAAGGGTGAATGGATTTGCGGGAATCGGCAAACATCAATGAAGAGAATTATTGAAGGATATAGCGAAAGATATGCACCTATAAAGTCTACAAATGTGGTAAATTTTGTTGTTTTGTTCATTGAAAGTAAACATACGATTGTAATATTGCATTGCATCTTCAATATTGCATTTTAATTTGTATATATAAATTAATATTCATTTATATATTTTTATTTTGTTAAATTAATCAAAATCATTCCCAAGGGAAGGAAAATCATTCCCGAGAGTGGAACAATTCAAATACCTCGGCTCCACAATAGCCTCAATAGACCAACGGACAGAAATAGACCAGCGTATAACTAGCACAAACAGAGCTTTCTTCTCCCTCTCAAAGGTAATGAAATCCCGAAAAATCTCATGAAATCTAAAACTAAAGGTGTAAAACGCTATGATAAAGCCAGTTCTAATATATGGCTGTGAGACCTGGACAGTAACCAGCGCCATAGAAAAAAGCGTTGAAAGATTTGAGAGGAAAATCCTCTGCACGATATCCGGAGCGATCTGGGATCAGAGTACTAACACATGGAGAAGAAAGACCAATAAAGAACTGCTTACAGAAACTAGTCAATCAATATCCCATGATATGAAGGCACGAAGGTTAAGATATATTGGGCAGGACATGACAGCTCGTAGTAATCCATCTGGAAGGCTATATTTAACAATGTATGCCTCAATAGAAAGCGAAAGACCACCTAGAAAGCCAAAAAGCAGATGGATATATAGAAGCAACAAAGATGCAACAGAGCTGTGTGCAGATAAATGGAAGGAAATAGCCCAAGACAGGCAGAGAAAGAGCAGGTCTGTTAACATGGAAAAAAATCTACATGGTCTTTAATGCCTACAGAAAAAAAAAAAAAAAGATTAATCAAAATATGCAATTACGTGCATTTATTCACAAATATGCAAATATATGCATTTATCCTCAATAAATATGCAAAATAAAATTTGACTAATTACATTACAGTGTACTAATTCGTAAAGATTTTTGAAAAAATCTATAAAAATAAAAATCTAGTTCTTGCTAATGACTAATGTATAAAATGGTCATATTTTATTTCAAATTCTACTTTGAATTTAATTGCTATAACATCCTTCAGATAATCCCTCCTAACTAAAAAGTAGGCCTTGGTAGACCTCTCTGCTCTGTTTGGATACTCCATTAATCTTATTTTGAATAGGTAGCTCAAGGATGATCTTTGTTGGACAATGTATTTATGGATCTGTGGAAACACTGTCTCGAACACGTTTATGTGTGTAACCTTATGACATTGTTATTCGGGTTATTGTTATGTTACGCTGCACCGTACCTATGTCGCACTTGATTGTACATAATGTGTGAAAGTTGTGTTCAATAAATATAGTCATAAATCCACGAACTGTTTCATCTTTTTCCCTAAGATATGGAATGAAGATTCAACAATCTTGACCTACAGAAGATTCCTTTTAGAAAAGATGGAAAAGATAAATCACAACATTGCTGAACTACTACATGTCACTAGCGGATCCAGGATTTAATTTTTGGGGGGGGGGCTTCAGCCCAAAAGCTTTTTTTTCATAAAAATAACGATAATCATTTTGGAAAAAAGAAAGAAACTAATTACCTGCATGCAATTGTGTTTAAGTGATACCTAAAGCCCTTTTAATATTAATCACACGAACAATAATACTTTAAGAGATACTTTTTAAATATTTTTTTCGATATAACATGTTCACAATAGCACTTGCCCTTTTTTCTTTTTCATGATTGCAGATATTTGATGTTATATACTTGGATCATATTTTAAATTTAAGTTCTCAACAGCCTACAAAACTTTAATTATAAAATCCAAATATTTTGACCAGACTCTGAAACCATGAGTCCAGCAATCCCCCACTCCATGTGGAGGCCCTGCTTCAAAGACAAGGACTTAACTTAAAATGCAGGCTATTATACCCTATAGTAGGACCTCTCATTACTCAATTGTCAATATGTTTCTAATTAAATTATTATTTTTTCCAAGCACCTTCAGTTTTCATACTTCTAATTTAAAAGTGTTTTTGAGTGAGCCCTTAGGAATAACTGAATTAGAACATTTGAAAAATAAAGGTTTTGAAAAAAAATACATATTACTTGTGTTGATGAAACAATATTAATATTTAGAGACCGCATTTTCGAGCAGAACTGAAAAAACTGAAAAACGTACAGTAAAAAACTCAAAATGAGCAAAATAATGTAGTTAAAACCAAAATATTTAAAATTGTATAATTAATACCTAAAAAGTTGCAAAAATCATCAGTTCTGTTTAATTAATTAGATTCTAGATTTCCATGTTATTGGATATTTTATTTGGTTTGATCATATTTCGATGTATTAATATAATAAATGCAACAAAATAGATGATTTTTTACGTTTTTGGTGTTGAATACACAATTTTAAATATTTTGGGTTTTCACCACACGATTTTGAGTTTTATTACACAAAAATCCGGTATCTAGTAATATTACGTTCAGTGAATAATAATTGAAATGGAATCATTCTAGAAAGTATCAAAGTTATCTCCTTTTCCTCATACAGTTTTATTTCATTTTTATAGGTGTTGGGATCAAAAACGTTACTTTAGGAAAGAATAGGCAGAAAAAAACAAAAGTAAAGAATATTACTTCATCCCCAGTGAGTGAGCAAGTCAATAAACCAAAGGATATTGGTGAGTAAACATCAATACTCAATATTTTTAAGTCTAGATAATCACATATGATCATTTTATCTAAATAGATAATAAAAAATACAATTTCGTGCATTTTCTCGCATTTATTAAATACTATAATTTTATTTCTTTTCCAAAATGATCATTATTTCTTGACCACTATCTATCCATTGAATTAGTAATAAATATCTTTTATTCTTATTATTTTTTTTTCTCTTCAATTATGTCTATCTATATGATGATTTTTTTTTGTTTATTTATATATTATTACTGTTCATGATGTATATATTGATTGGATTTTATTGATATAGTTCCAGAGCTTTTCTCACAGTTAATTAAACATTGTGAAAATATATTAGCTCGTATAAGCTCTATTGACCTACCCTTGCATTTGCTACAATGCAGGTTAGTAGTAAGATATAATGTAAACCAGAGTTCAGGGCTTTGGTGAAGACAACAATTATACCACTTAATCTTGCAACTGTTAAGGCATGCCTGTGAGATGCTAGGCTGTTATAAGAATATTTCTATCTCTCTAAGCATTAATCAAAATAAAAAGATTTAGGTTACTGAACCCAACAGTTAGAAACAACTGTCAACAAGTTTCTAATTTAATCATTACCTTTTTCTCAGAATTTCAGCAGTTTTCTTGCTTCTTAAAATTTGTAATGTCTTTTAATATTACACTGCCTTATTTATATAAATTTTCAATGATTATTCACTCTGTCAGAACAGACAATCCAAATTTAATCTTAAAAGTTTCCAATGAATTTAATAAACCTAAGAAAGTTCAAGGCTCAGACCACATATAATGAGTCATTTAATTGAACTAAATATGAAGCTATGACAAAACAATAATAAGCTACTTTTTTGAAATCTAAATAATTCCCATAAAACACATTCTGTTGCTAATAACTTATGGAAAAGAAGAAATTTTTTCAGTCCAATTGTTTTCCATAAATCAAAAAAATACAAATAATACCACCATAATGTTGAGAGAGGTATAATGAAAGTATGTGATTAAAGTCATATTGAAGATATTAATCTAGTGCTTGTATGAACATGATCAATCCAGTATGATACTCCATGATGATAATTGCACAACTGCTTAAATAATGAAGATAGTTTTGTTGTTTTGAAAATGGCTTTGTGTGGTTTGAATCACATGATTGGATGGGAGTATCATAAATAAAATGTTTCCATAAATTTATGTAGTTTAGTAGCATAGGTGCTGACTACTAGGTTGGCTTGAGGTCCCCAATGCTACTGTGGTGAGAGCTCAGCCGCCCTGTAGTAAGTATGATCATGAACATATCGATCGTGTTCATTACAATTCCATTACAAAGGGCTGTATCTATGTACTATAATGTACTGTAGAATTTGTTTATCGGTATTCTATTGTGGATTCATAAACTCACCTAAACTGTAAATGGAAGAATCATATATTAAAATTCTGTACTTTTTTAGTTAAAAGTGATTTGTTTGACTTAACACTTTTTTGTCATCAGGAAGGGCTTGAAAAAACTCATTACCTACCTGAGATGGTAATTTTTCATGTATTATATATTGCATATAGGCATATAGGATATATTCCAAACAATACCCCCACCCTCTCAAGCCCTCCATCCCGGGATTCTATAGGTTGGTTCTCCCAATAATTTTCATAAATCGGCGTCTATGTTTAGTAGTAATATCTGCAGTGGAAAAAATATAGAGAACAAGACCCAATATACAAACTTGCAGAATGCCAGTCTACTAGGTAACAATTGGAATATTCAATGCCACAGAAAGAAATGATTAGCAAACTAGAATCTCTAAGGACATAGTATTAGTATGGCGATAAACAAATTTTGAGCTTGGAAAAGCAAGCTGCATTTCCGTACCCCATCAGAAGCTTCAGCAATATCCAGAAATGTGCAAGTGAAGATTTGCTTTTAAGTACTTTATTTTCATTATGTAATACATTTCAACTCGTCCTGGCCTTATTCAAACTGTTGTCCCTAGACTAGAGAATGCTAAGATAAGCAACACGCTAGTCCATCTTGGCCTCAAATATATTGGAGTATCTGTCAAAAGTTTCAGAGGATGCAGTTACAATGGAAATCGTGAATAAGCAGAAGACTAATCGTGCTCCAGGACTTGATGCAATAGATGCAGCGATCTTGAGGAACAGTATCATGTATATTGAAGACCGGTTGTTAAGTATTTTCAATGAATGTCTGCATATGGGATACTTTCCAAGAAGAGGGAAGATCGCTGATTTGAGACTACTCTACAAGGGAGGAGATAGGGACAAACAACTTCCTAATTCATATAGACCTATATGTCTCGTCCCTGTGATTAGCAAGGTCCTGGAGAACCTCATGATGACTAGTTTACGACCTGTTTTCGCTAGAGCAAGTCATCCACGGCAATATGGATCAACCAGAGGCAGAGGAACCGCTGATGCCCTGCTGAGAGTGCACAGAGATGTTGAGGAGAGGGCGGAGCGGTATGTCATGTTGCTCCTTTTCGACATATCCTCCGCCTTCGACAGCGTATGGTGGCCTACTAGCGTGCTCCAGCAGCTGCAGAGGTACGGTGCTCCCAGTAACTTATACACACTAGTAAGTTAAATCCAGGACATAAGTGTGAAGATTAGAGGCAATTACTACGAGGTAGAAGCTTCCATAGAGAGAGTTTGCCCTCAGGGATCAGTGCTTGGTCCTGCTATTTGGAAGCTCGTCTTTGATGAGTTACTGGGAGTGTTAGAGGAAGAGCGGTTTCCTGCCACTGCTTACGTTGACGACCTAGCTGTTGTGGTGGCCTCCAACAGCAGAGCTGGAGTCAAGAGAGAAGCAGAGCGATGCGCCGGCTTAGTCGCTAGATAGTGTGAAGGAAAGAAGATAAGGATGGCTGCTACCAAGATTCAAGCTACCCTCCTTAAGGGAAAGACTGATAGGGCATACCCTATAACGATGTACATAGAAAGCCTGAGGATACGTCCAAGTGACGTGGTAACCTACCTAGGGGTTAGGTTAGGTGTAGGCCTGAATATGACGCCTCATTTGGAATATCTGGCAGGTAGGGTCGCCCTAGCAAAGAACGGTCTAAGTCGTGTGGGGGGCGCATTTTGGGGCCTGAGGTATCCAGCCACTATCACTATTTATAAGGGTGTTGTGGAGGGTATCCTGAGGTATGCGTCTCCCTTCTGGTTCCGAAACCTCACACTCAGACAAAGAAATAAGCTAGCATCGACTGAGAGGACTGCTCTGCTTCGGGTCACCAGAGCATATAGGTCTACCTCGCATGAAGCAGTGCAGGTCTCCCCGCTAAGACCTAAGTGGTGCCTCTTGACCTCCTCCTGCGAGAAGAAGTGACCAGGTACGATTACAAGAGGGAGGGCTCAACAGGTCTGTCGGAGAACCTACGGATGAGGATTATTATTATGATGAGGAAAACACAAATAAATGGAAAAAGATTATCCGGGAGGATACAATTGAAGATTGGAGCAGACGGTGGATGACGACTCCGAAAGGCAGTATCTTAAGAAAATACTTCCCCACCGTTGAATTTTGAGCCTAAGCTGAAGAATGAGGAAAAGTAGAAGAGCCTAGCTGTGTGCGCAGCTTAGAATTTTGTTAACCGATATTATAGCAGTAGTGTGTTTTTATGCATTAATGCTTAACATCACACTACTGCATACACCCGTGTTGCCCTGGTGGCATGGGAGGGTGGAAAAAAAAAATTACAATGGAAATTAGTCGCTCTGATTCCTGTTTGTAAGTGTTTTCCATTTAAGTATGCATTGAGAAAGGAATGGTGCCCTCAGAAGTTAAGTGAAAATTTTAAGAGGATTTAAGAGATGTAAAAAGCTGAGACCCTCTCTGGTTATACAGATTTGCTAACATGAATGGTAACCTGTCATTTGTGACCTTTTAGGGGTGAATAAGAACTTAAAATTCAAATAAACAAACAAAATGTATTTAGAACTTAAATTAGTTTAGCACTTGTATTAATAGATGAAACAAATAATAATCTTTGAGTATTTTAAAAGCTCTAGCTTCTAAAACAATGTTATTGTTTTGATTATTTTCCTCCTATTGTTTTATTTTAGGTCTTGCTGGCAATACCTTAAAAGCTCTGAAAGACATCATGAAATTTGTAAAAGTATTCTTGAATTTAAGGTCGAAGAATGTTACAAGAAAAATAGAGAATCCTTCTTTATTGCATAAGCAAAAGAAGAAAACAGAAGCTCTTGGTAATACTTTATTAATCAATATTTGAAAACTATTTGTGAAGAAATTCACTTATGATCTTTATATCTTCATCACTATTTCAAAATATTTTTATTAATAAACTTTCTCTCATTAATGGCATTTTAAGTTATTATTTCTTCTGGAATAGTGGAACCTTATTAAACTAACTCCTGCTGAGGTAAGTTGCTGTATTGACTAGATTGCCAATAGTGGGAATTGTGACTGTTATTAAGGCCAAAAAATTCAATAAAAAAACAAATTGAAACTAGAGTATTTCCTGGAAATATTTAGATTAACGACATAAATAAAGGTGGCGATTACAATGTTCTATTTATGCATCCTTGTCCTGCTAAAACTTTTTTTTATCTCAAAAAGAAGAAACATGTTATGTACCACTATTTCATCTACTTTGAAGAGAACTGCGATTATTAAAGGTTCAAAACAATTCTTAATGAAACTCTGAAGTATTTTCTGAAATACCATAAATTTCTGACCATTAAAAGCAATTCAAATATTTCTTTCTTATTCTAATTATTTTTTTCCTGTGCTGCTGATAGATATCAACTGAAGTTCAAGTATGTTTCTTCTGACTATTGGTTTGGATACACTCCTCATCAAACCATGGCTACCTTATCTAAATCTAGTTATGACCATATCTTTTATTCCCAGAGTAAAATATATTTTTGATTCTCTTCATAAAGATAAAGAACCTAATCAACAAACTGGTTTTGAAAAGTGGAAATAATGCTTTTACAAAAAATTTTGTTTGACAAAAATAAGTCGGCATAATTAAGACTTATTAATTATTAAAAAGATATATTTATATCTCAAATTCATAGTTTAAAAAAACAATGTTAACTTAAACTGAAAATAAATTAGTTATTTTCATCTTCTTTTATAATTTTATTTTTATTAATTCAGATCTTCTTCAAAATAACATAGATTCGGTTGAGGTAACCTCACCTATAAACAAAGTATTGAATAATTCAAAATCAAAAAATCAAGCACTAGAAAAGAAAAGTAATTTCAATGTGCATAAAAATAAAGATGGATCTGAGTATGTTGGTAAGTAAGAAGTTCTTATTTATTCAATAATAAAGAAAGTTTACCTCTTCTCTTTTCATAGTTTTATTTTAAATAATTCAGGTTTTCTACAAAATAAAACAGATGCAGTGGGCATAATCTCACACAAAAAAGAAGCACTGAACAGTTCAAAATCAAGAAATCATTCAATAAAAAAGACTTTGGACAGACAAATTATGGTTCCAGAGGATAATGGTAAGTGATGTAATGTGCATATTCTTCTTCTTTAGCTTCCATCTTTAATGTCTCTCAGTGTAGACGTGCATTCAGCCAGGAATTCTATTCTTCCCTATTTTTAGCTAGGTTCCTAGCCTGTCTGAGGTCCTTTTCCCTCGCCCTACCGAGTCACTCTATGTTGTCGAAATAGGACATCCTAGGGCAGTGATTAGCGGTGATTTTGCTCTCCTGTCGGTCTGTTAATATCCAACTCTCCGCTCCATACAAAAGTATGGGTACATATACTGTCTTGAAGATGTGTAGCTTGACATCTTTGCCTACTTCTCTCTTCCCTACCACAGTGTTATATATCTGATAGTGAACTGCATTTTCCTGGTCAATCCTGTTAGATAGACCGTCTCAGGTAGAGATGGGCAAAATTGTACTCTGAGTAAAAAGTACAATTACAGAGTAATTTACTCAAATACTCGCCCGGTTCGAGTATCGAGTACTTCAATCACTACTCGACCTCATGATTGACGAGTACAAAAAGTAATCAGCTGTCCTCGTGAGTACTTTCTATTTTCAAATCTACTCAGCAATATTTTACTATGAGTACTTTTCAAAGTAATCGAGTATTTCATTATAAAAATTACAGGAGTAGAATATTTAATATTTCTTCCATATTTAAGCGCATTGTTATCTTATGGGGGTATAGTTTTTTAAAATAGTATCGATATTAATGTAAATCGATAAAATAAAGAATTATTAAAATATTTTGGATTTAATCAACTTTGGGGACCATTTTTTTTTTTCTACACCACTTTACTTTTATGATAATGCTGTCGGATTTCAGATAGTGCCCCGGGGCCCGACTTTTTGTATCATTTCGGATTATATCGACATCAGGGTCAACTATTAGGTTTTGGGGGAAGCTTTTTATGAAAATGATGTCGGATTTGAGATTGTGCCCCCGTGATCCGACTTTTTATATCATTTTGGATTACATCGATATCAGGGTCGACTATTATGTTTTGGGGGGCGCTTTTTATGAAAATGTATATCGAATTTGAGATTGGGCCCCCGGGCCCCGACTTTTTTTAACTTTTTGGATTAAATCGATATCAGGGTCGACTATTATTTGTTGGGGGCGCTTTTTATGAAAATTATATCGAATTTATGATTGGGCCTCCCCGGGCCCGACTTTTTTTAACTTTTTGGATTAAATCGATATCAGGGTCGACTATTATGTTTTGGGGGCACTATTTATGAAAATGGTATCGAATCTGAGATCGGACCCCCGGGGCCTTACTTTTTGTAACATTTCGGATTATATCGATATCAGGGTCGACTCTTATGTTTTAGGGGGCGTTTTTTTATGAAAATGGTATCGAACTTGAGATTGGGCCCCCCGGGCTCCGAATTTTTTTATCTTTTTTGATTAAATCGATATCGGGGTCGATTATTATGTTTTGGGGGGCGCTATTTATCAAAATGGTATCGAATTTGAGATTGGGCCCCCCGGGGCCCGACTTTTTTTAACTTTTTGGATTAAATCGATATCGGGGTCGACTATTATGTTTTGGGGGGCACTATTTATGAAAATGGTATCGAATCTGAGATCGGGCCCCCCGGGCTCCGAATTTTTTTATCTTTTTTGATTATATCGATATCAGGGTCGACTATTATGTTTTGGGGGGCGCTTTTTATGAAAATGTTATCGAATTCGGGATTGGGCCCCCCGGCCTCCGACTTTTTTTAACTTTTTGGATTAAATCGATATCGGGGTCGACTATTTTTGGGGGGCGCTATTTATGAAAATTATATCAAATTTATGATTGGCCTCCCCGGGCCCCGACTTTTTTTAACTTTTTGGATTAAATCGATATCGGGGTCGACTATTATGTTTTGGGGGGCGCTATTTATGAAAATGGTGTTGGATTTCAGATAGTTTTGGGGGGCGCTATTTATGAAAATGGTATCGGATTACGAATCATTTTCATAAATTTTGAGATAGTGCCCCCGGGGCCAGAATTTTTGTAACCTTTCGGATTTAATAGATATCAATGTTGATTATGAGGTTTTAGAGGACACTTTTTATGAAAATGATGTCGGATTTTTTTAAAAATGCGTCCCCTAAAACATAATAGATGGCCCTGATATCGACTAAATCCAAAAGGTGAATCCACTGGGTGCATTCTCAAATCCGACAGTATTTTCATAAATAGCGCCTCCCAAAACATAATAGTCGACCCTGATATCGATTTAATCAAAAAGTTAAAAAAAGTCGGGCCCCGGGGGCCCAATCTCAAATTCGATATAATTTTCATAAATAGCGCCCCCAAAACACTAATAGTCGACCCTGATATCGATTTAATCCAAAAAGTTAAAAAAAGTCGGGCCCGGGGGGCCCAATCTCAAATTCGATATAATTTTCATAAATAGCGCCCCCCAAAACATAATAGTCGACCCCGATATCGATTTAATCCAAAAAGTTAAAAAAAGTCGGGCCCCGGGGGCCCAATCTCAAATTCAACATAATTTTCATAAATAGCTCCCCCGATAACATAATAGTCGACCCGGATATCGATTTAATCCAAAAAGTTAAAAAAAGTCGGGCCCGGGGGCCCAATCTCAAATTCGATATAATTTTCATAAATAGCGCCCCCCAAAACATAATAGTCGACCCCGATATCGATTTAATCCAAAAATTAAAAAAAAGTCGGGCCCGGGGGGCCCAATCTCAAATTCGATATAATTTTCATAAATAGCGCCCCCAAAACACAATAGTCGACCCCGATATCGATTTAATCCAAAAAGTTAAAAAAAGTCGGGCCCGGGGGGCCCAATCTCAAATTCGATATAATTTTCATAAATAGCGCCCCCAAAACATAATAGTCGACCCCGATATCGATTTAATCCAAAAAGTTAAAAAAAGTCGGGCCCGGGGGGCCCAATCTCAAATTCGATATAATTTTCATAAATAGCGCCCCCAAAACACAATAGTCGACCCCGATATCGATTTAATCCAAAAAGTTAAAAAAAGTCGGGCCCCGGGGGGCCCAATCTCAAATTCGATATAATTTTCATAAATAGCGCCCCCAAAACATAATAGTCGACCCCGATATCGATTTAATCCAAAAAGTTAAAAAAAGTCGGGCCCCGGGGGGCCCAATCTCAAATTCGATATAATTTTCATAAATAGCGCCCCCCAAAACATGATGGTTAGTCTAATATCGATTAATGGGGAGTTAGGGTTGGTCAGGTCGAATATGGCCGCTATTATTAAAGGAAATAAAAGAAAACATTTATACTCTTTATAATAATGACGGAGTAGTTGAAAAATAAAAAGTACTCTTTGTAGGAATTTGGCTGAGTACTTTCTGTAATTCGATATAACAGCGCGAGTATTTTCTGTACTTAACTAAATCATGATTGACGCAGCGTGAGTACTCTCAGTACTCGCCGATGTCAGGCCGAGTACAGAAACTACTCGATACTTTTTCCTAATAAAATTACTCAAATCATGAAAGTAATCGAGTACCACTTCTAATTCTTCCCCATTACAGTATATGTGGATATTTTCCTTCTTTATTCCAACTTGTAGGATCTTACTTTTGTACGTATTTATAAGCATCCCTTTTCGTTGGAACTCTTCATACCATTCCATAACTGTAAATTGTAACTTTTCCACTGAGTCCGTAATCAATACTATCGGGGTAGAGGAGAAGCAGTATCACAACAGGATTAAGATTCCAACGTCATAGGAATGTCTTGTTCGTTCTTCTTTTACAAATAGATGCCACTTCATCCACGAACAACAAGAACAACAAAGGGCTTAGGCTGCCTCCTTGTTTGACCGGCTTTGCAATACTGAAATAATTTGATTCTTGCCCGTTCAGCCTGACTATTCCATTGGGCTCTTGATATATAGATTTAATTGCCTCTGTCAGGTTTCTCGGAACGTTCTTCGCTCTGAGAGCTTCCCAAATGAGCTCAAAGAAAGTTAGGTACATAATGTGGTTATGGGTTTGGCGCCCGGGTCTGAACCCATCTTCTCCTATTAGGTGCTCAACTAGTGGTCTTAAGCGACCCACCAATATGAATGTATATAGCTTGTACGCAACTGGCTTATTATTATAGCCAGTAATAATAATAACTATATATAACTATAACTATATAAACAGATAGTTAAAGCATTCTGCCTGACATCCTTTCTTGTGAATTAGTATTATAATATTATATTCCCAATCCGTTGGAATCCTTTTTTCGTCCCAGGCTTTCTGTAAAAGGACTTGCAATGTTCTCACCAGCTCAGAGCCTCTATTCTTTATTAATTAAGCTACAACACCATCCCGTCCTGGCTCTTTTGATGTTTTCATTTTGTTTATTGCTCTCTCTAGTTCTTCTTCCTCAACCACTTCGTCGTACTCTTTCTCTTGGTTGAACGGTGATCATCAATACCAAACTGATTCATGCAATGATGTCTCCAGACCTCCAAGATTTAACTTTTTCAATCTGCATGTTTCTCACTGCTTTGCTTTTACGTCCTTTCAGAGCTTTAATTTTTTTCCTGAAAATCCTGATATTTTCCCGATGATCCGGATCCAACTTTCAATTTCAAAATTTTCAAAACTCTTTCAAATTCTTCCTATGATTTTTGTTTCGCCACTCTTACTGCTTCTTTTGTCTTGTTTCGGGCCAACACGTATGCTTGCCATTTCTCTGGGGTTTTGTCCCAACAGTACCCCTTCCACGCTGTTTTCTATTGCCAGACTTGCGCTCTCAATTCTTTGCTCCACCATGATGTACGTTGACCTTTCGTGCAAATCTTTTTCACTTCACTCATATTCATATTAAATTTATTTTTTTAAAACATCATTTATGATAATTACTTAAGCCTTAGAAACTTTTACAAAACACACTTTTCCTCAAACCTTCACCCACTTAATGAATTATTTTATTACTATTATACAATTATAATAAAAAATATAATTTTAATACTAATATATGGAATACCGATTTCATAAAATCCTGAA